TCGATTAATATTCAACGAAAAAAAAGAAAAAGGCAACATTATGAATTCATTTCCAAATAATATTTACGACATTATATATCCCATTTTTTTTTATATTATATATTACAATCAATTTTATGTACAGAAGAAAAAATACTTAACTTTGTAAAGATCATATATATCGATTATGATTTATAGGATTTTTCTTTGATACGAAATAAGAGAACAATTAAAGTTAGAATTACTAATTCTGATTAGATAACAAAAATACAAATTTCTACTGTATATTGATTTGGTTGAAGAATGATTTGTTTATTCAATTCTTTAGAAGTAAATTTTTATTATTTGATCATCATACAAAAATATTTTCTAGAAGATACTATCGACTATCTAATGCGACTAACAGATCAACAAATTGGATTTATGACATGATATGAAACAAAAATATGTATGACATAAGCTTTTCAAATTGATTTATTTTGTAAATATGGCAAAAGAATTTAATATATATATATATAAGAGTAACATATTTAATGTCTGTCAAGCGTTCTAATTATCAGGTGCAGAAGTGCTATTTTCAATAGTTGTGTTTAACGAAAGTTATTCAATGTTATTGTCTTCGTTTATGTTGATGTCAATATATTTATCTTCATTTGCTTTTATGTTGGCTTCTTCATAACTCTTTGTATTCTTAATATGATATATAGATTCCTTTGACAAGAGCCTGTCAAATAGGTCTCAAACCTAGTTGTATCCAGGTCTGAAAATGTTGCACTTGATGAACTCTAGTTATTTAAGAAAATGTATAGAATATACTAGTTATCGAATAGAAATATCCGGAAGAGAATATTTCGTATCTTTGTCGTGACTAGCTGATTTCGTTTAGAAAGTTTCATTGTAGAAAATCAAAGTGTAGTTCAACGAGATGAAAGTTTTGAACTCAATGAGTTGAAACTCTTTGACAAAAGAATCATTCTTATAATAAGTTTTTTCTGACCATCTCATTTGATAGTCATTATGTTGAACATCATTGTTAGTAAACATTTAGTTTGTAAATCAATCATTATTTCTTTTATAACAAACATAAAAAATATGTCATGGTAATACAAAAAAAAAAGCTATAGTTTATGTCCAACTTCATATTTTCATATTTAACAAATAATCAATTTAAATAGTTTCTCTATAATGGTACTTAAATTTGATCTTGTATATAATACGTAACTTTGTTTTTTCTAATATAAGTATTACTCTTATTTCTGTCGTCAATTTACTATGATACTAAAAATAAAATTTTTGAAGATGCTCAAAATTGATTGTATAATTTATATAAACATACTCATCATTTTCACAATAAAATATTATGTATTTACTTATTTCAAATGAGAAAAAAAAAAACATTTTCTAGAATGTTTTAATGAAATATTACTCTCTTTCTTTTATAAATTACAAGATGCTCACTCCCGTTTTTTTTTGTATTATGAAATTTACAAGTATTTTTGTATGTTATTGATCATAGCAAGATAATGATTGAAAGAGATGATGCATGATTCGTATAAAATATGAATTGTAAGATAGATTTTGTCATATTTGTTTTACCATAATGTATTGAATCTCTCTTATGCTATTAAGAAGAAGAAGATGAGCATACGATCAATTTTCAATCCTTCTGTATAAATCTCTTATTACTTGAAATTACTTGTCATAGTATCTTTTCAAAAGTTTTTTTTTTATGATCAAGGTTTAACATTTGACAAAATATGTTAATGCTGAATATGTCTTGTAAAAATAAACACATCATGCCATTATATTTGATAAGTAATTATAAACATATATATATATATAACTTCTTAGTATTGTAAACATTATCGATGATACCTTCTCAAATATTCAAGAGAAATTTTATGATTCTAAGAATATAAAATCAATTATTGATTTTCTTTTTTAATTTGTTCACAGACTAAAAATTACAAACTAATATACTTCTACTTAAAAAACAATATACAATTGATTTATTATTCTAGTTGATTTTGTATATTGAGAATCAGTGTTTATCATATCCTAATCCATTTATGTAACAATTTTTTTTTTGTCATATATCTATTACTGATTTACGCAACGCATTAAAACTATCGAATAACCTATTTGACACATATATCTATACTTAATTTACATACCATAATGCAAAAGAATTTTGAAGAATAAATCTATTGAAAAGAAAAGATTATCGTTTTAGTTAAATTTTTCTTGATCTTTTAGAAATAAAAAAAAGAAAAAAAAAGACAAGACAAAGCAATATTCATATCTAATTTCTTGTTCTTATATAAGATATCTATTAAGCTTCTTTAAATGAAATTTACAATTGATTATAAATAATGAACAATTGAATTTAACCTTGAACAATAGAAAATATATTTCACATTGAGATGACAAATAATTTTGATCGATTGATTTTAAATACATATATATATATACATGTACAAAATAAAAAGAAAAGTAATTTTTATCATTGATTGAACTTCTAATCAATATGATCAGATTTCTTCATACTTCAAAGTTTGATTATCATCATATAATTTTTCTCCATCTCATTAGCTAACACAGCAGGAATAGAATATTGACGTAATTCCATATTGTTCTGGTTTTCGCCTTCATCATTCTCGTTATCCAGTGACAGACAACTTCCATATATAAAGTATGTTTATATCAACGTTCAAAACAAAATTAATCGATCGTATAGTACAATAAGAACGAAACAGGCGTCTCTATTCAAATATAAACATATCCTAACCGATGAAAAGTCTGTAATAAGATAGAGTCATTATCGACATATTATATAGAATATGAACAGAAAAAAAAAAAAAGATTTATGATAGTTCTACGTGCTTATTATTCTCTTTAGTTCTAATTAGCATTTATCAAATGAACTTCTTTGACCTTTAATAAATGTACACTGCATGAAATCAGGTGATTGAGTATCATTTAAGAACAAAAAAAAGGGCAAATTAACTATGTCTGTATGTTTGTTATTTCAGCTTGTTCATGTCTCAAGATATATTTTTGTTTCATTCACTTTTTTTTTTTTTTGTTGTTGTCAGTAGATTAAACAAAAAGAAAAAATTTTGAACTTTTAAGATCAATAGTGCGCATCAATGAATTCTATGAATAATGGACAATTCTCTCCGATGAATTGAATGTAAATGCCGGTGATTTGCATGTCGTCACTTTTTCTTTATCGATAAAACAAAAAAAAGCATTTAGCACGTTAATCGATATTTAAGTATGTTATTTGGTGTCACTTGACAAAACATATGTGAATTTGACCTAATAATACGAATCAAAAAAAAAAACAATGAGACGAAAAGTAATAGATGATCAATTTGAAATGATATATCATTTAATCATAAAAAATAATAATAATAATATTGACCTTATCGTTGAAGAATATTAAAGAAATTATTACGAAATGTTATATCCCCTTATTTAAACAATGATTGATTCATAGTAGAAGGCGTGTTTAGCTTTTTTTCTTTACTAAATTTGAATGACCGATACAAGAAAAAAAAAGAATGTTTGTATTCCTTGTCAAGTATATAATTAGAATAAGAAAGAGAACCTATACAATACATGTCACTAGTATTTAGTTTCTTTTTATTTTACTTTTATGAAAAGATTGTTTGAAATATATTTACATGTATTTCAATTCTTTAAATAGAAATCTATTCGAGAATATGAAAAAGCAAATTTTTTATCGTGTAAATCATTTCTTTTTGTTTAGTTTAAATAATAATATGATATATCTCTTGTGTCTCTTCTTCAATAGAGTACCATATATGAATCCCCCCCCAAAAAAAAATCTATTCATCTCGAGAGAGATGAAGAGAATGCTACACTAATGATATGAGTGAGAAGCGTTTTTTTTTTATGCTCTCCTTCTCCCTCTCTCTCTCTCTGTTTCTTTCTCTCTTAATAGAAAATGCGTGCTGATCGCACGTCTATACTATTGTACATACGCGAAGTATATACATATAATAATTCTGTCTTTTACTTGCTTGTTTCTTTATAAATTAATGATAACCTTGTGTAACTCTGGACAGTAAGTATAGAGGATTTAATCATATTGTGATCGTTGATAAGACCTTGAACTTTTGACTTAAGAGAAATCTCTCTAATCTATGTTCAATGGATATCCATCTGTTGATTGTTTGTTTTTCACTTTAGTTCTCTTTTTTCGAATGTTCAAATATTTGTTTGCATGTTCTCCTTCTCATTTACTCTAGACAAATGTAAAATGATATGAATTGATGAGTGTATATCTTATTCATTCGTTTTGTGTCCCATTATCTGTCTTATATATTGTTTTTCTTTTTTTTACGAAGAAAAAAAGGATTCGACAGCTGTCAAGTCCATATGATAAATATGAATGAGAATTTAACCATCACTTAAATTCAAGTGATCATCATCATCAGGTATAAGCAATTTTTTTGAGTGACAGTTCTTTATTGTACAAACGCTGTAGGGTATTTGAACGACTAGTTCTAATAATTTCAATTGTAAATGCATTAGCACGGATATATTGAAACAAAGGAAGTATATGTATGTATGTATGTGTGTGTGTGCGGCATTTTGAAGTTGAACAAATAATTGTCTCAGGTATTTCGACCAATCCATATTAAGACAAAAAAATATTCATCTTCTTCTGCTTCAATGAAGACATCTAATGCGATTATCGCGATTGCACACATACTACTGATAGATTCATCATCATCAACGACAAGCCCCTCTGAATCAGTCAGTCATTTATCTACTGGTTACATTTCGCTCTAAGCAAAGACAAACATTGATTGTATATGTTGCAGATGAATGGATGTTATCATTACCTACTGTTACTGAGCTTACTCAGTTCATTAGAGAAAACTATTTCAATCAATTTACCAAATGTAACTATTCAACACGTCTGTGAGCATGATTTACTTTTTATTAAATGTTCAAATATAAATGAAACAATACAAATAATACGTTCTATGTATGGACGTACATCACAAAGAATTTGTAATTATGATTTAACAAATCAAATTTCTTCTAAAACATGTGCAAATATTGAACAGTCAAAATTTCAAACTAAACAACGGTAAATATTTTCTCTGTTAATTTTCGATTATCTATAATTAAATAAAATTTCTTTTTTTTTGTTTTTTTATTAAGATGTCATAGAAAATCAACATGTCAAATTCTTATTGATAATACTATTTATATTGATCCATGTGGATCAAATATATTAAAACATTTTGAAATACATTATCGATGTATAAATTTTAATGAAATATGTTTACAACTATTTCATAATTGTTCATTATTAAAAGATTTAAAATGTATAGAAAAAATTCAAGATGATTATTCATGTCAATGTCCATCAACAATATGTGAATATAATCATAAAAGAGAATTAATTGGTTTTATTGAAAATATATGTTCAGCAGAAATATTTCAAGGTATATATTGGCCTAAAACACTTGCTAATAAAGGTCAACATATGTCTTGTCCTTATCCATGTACTGGTATGATAGATTAACATATTTATCTTTCTTACATAATATTGAGAATTCAAATTGATTATAGGTCAAATATTTCGTTTTTGTCATATGAATAATCAATGGTCAAAACCGAACTATACAAATTGTCAATGTCCGATAAAAAAATTTGATCAAGTAATTTAATCTTCTTTTTCTTTTCCCTCTCATATCTTATTGTCTATTTTGATTAGTTATCAATGCATAATTTAGCTCATAGCTATGTCTTTCAATGTAATTTTTGGTTAATCAATAGATTTTTGCCTAAGGATAATCAATGCATTTTTGTACGTAGACTTTTCTTTTTTTTATTCATTAGATAGAACAAATTTTGATTGTCTAGGAAACAGATGAACATAATAATGATGATGGTTCCGCTACTTGTCTATTAAATGCTTTTAAAAAGATGTCATTTACATCCTGTTTATCATTTAGTATTGATTTTAAAAATCTTGGTTTGTAGAAAATAAATTTTACTATTTAAATAAATTGTAATAAAAATTTTTAGGTTTTGAAATATTTCTACCGAATAATAATAATCAACGAAAATTTTATTTACCAAGAATTAGTAATGAATTTAAAACACAATTTGGTTTAAATCAAATTCTTATTAATAAAATTTATAATTCATATGAAAATTTACCAATGATGTTTATTGATACAAAAAATTCTAGTTCAACAATAAAATCATTAATTTTAGTTGAACAATCATATAATTTAACTTCAATACAAACAGCAAATGTAACAGTAATATTTAATCATCAAGTTAGTAAAGATTTATAATTACATTGTGTTTTTGTGATTCCTTTCAGAAATAGATCAATAAAATTTCTTAGATATATTAAATATTATCTCATGAGAGAATCCATAGGACTAATAATCTCTATTAGAGCTCATATTTTGCTTTTAGATACGACTTTATAATATAGATAAAAATTTTGAAAGGGTTTGTATCATTAATAGAGATTATCAAATTGGCTTCAAACTCGGACCTGATGGTTTTTAGCTATTAGACCTTTCTCCTATTAGATCATGAGAGCTATTCTTGAGGAGAATTTCAAGTCGAAGCTGATTCTTGCGATATCCTGAAATTAGCTAAACGCTCAGTACAATGGCCATAACTTCAAAAGGGTGTTCATCTGTTTCATAAAGACGTTGATTGCTATGTTAAATTTCAAAAAATTTGACCATGAAAAAAACAGATGATATCTTTGTTTGGTGTAGTGGGAAATCCAAGGTTGATCATGATATGACAGCATTGACATTTTTGTTTAACATTAAACAATACTTCATTTGTTTATTAATGAAACCATAATATAAAGTTTTTCTTTCAAGAAATACAATTTGTCCGAAAGATAATAGTTAATTACAAGAGAATATTTATAATATGTTTAAAATAGTTTCATATTTTCTTGAAATACTCAAATTATTGATTTTCAACCAATAATATAAATACTGATTACAGTCACACGTGTTCCGGAGATTGAAAAAAGTAATTTTTTTTATAATTAAGAAATTCAAAAGCATAATATAAATAATCGACGATTATATCTGTTAGGATTCTAGTCTTCGTTTAGAACCTTACGAGGAAAGATTTCTTCAGATGAATCTTCGTTTTCGATCGGCTTCATGTAAGTTTGAAGAGTTCGATGAGCTAATTACGATGATAAAAAGCATTTTTAAACATTGAATATCTGTAAGGATTACGGTTGATCTGAACTTTAGAAAAATGTTTGTAATCTATTATTTATGGAGTTTTTAGCCTTGAAAACCTTAATACTGAATGCATCTTAATTAATTGTACACATCTGTACAATAAATATAAATCTATACATTGAATACTTCAATATTAATTATATAGTGGATGTACGGAATTTAACTAATTCTAATTGTATGTTTATCTATTGTGGTTTGTCACATAAATATGTGAGAAATCAACGAAATAGAATGCAGACTATGAAAAATAAGATATTTCTCAAGGTTTTAATTATTATGTCGTTACAATAGTTTTTCTAGAGGAAACATGAAGAATTAGACTTGAAAAAAATAGTTAAATTCCATATGTTAACAATATTATTGGCAATGAAATATTCAAAGTATAGATGTACTTAAGACTTCTATTTAGATTAAGTGTGTGTGTGTACTGTCAATTGAATTCTAATTACAAGATAAATATAAAAATAATAATTTTCTTAATACAAGTTGATCGAAAACGGAGATTCACACTTGGGAAATATCTTTTGTTACAATAAAGATAAAGTACGTCTTATTACTATAATGATTGTATATCTACTCTCAGATGTTAAACTATATGCGGCTCAAATCCAACTATTTCGAGATAGAAATAATACAGATTTCAAATTGTCTGATTTGTAATCACACAATATTGCTATTAATCATAGTCTCTAATAATTTGTTTTGTTAAATAAGTGATCGAAATATTAATCCACACAACTAGTATATACAATTAAGATTGTGAATTCTGATGACCATCTTTTTCTCTGAATATTTCAATTAAAATCCGAAATCAGGAAATGATCGTAGACAAGTCACTAACATCTGTTTGTTTCGAATACCCTGTTTGATAGGATCTTGATTACATTTTGACATGCGCCTGCTCTTGTGGTTAATTATTTTCGTACAAAGAGCACAAGAAACTCTGCATCAAACTGACCTTCTATTCAATGATATAGATATTATTAATTCTAGAGAAGATATTAGGCTATTGAATTCATTGGTTAAGCTTCACTTCATATTATAAGGTAGTCGAAAAGCTGAAGTAATCTTCCTTCTCTACGATAAATATAGTTTTTACCCTAAAACTTTATGCTTCTTATTTCTAGTCATCGGAATTACGTTATCAATGTCGTGCATATCGTTCAACAAATTCATCCTTTCAAATCGAGTATATACACCTGTACTTTTTATTTTCTAATCATTCATATTTTGTTTTTTATTGATCTAGTACATCAGATATATTTTTTACATGTCAATTATTATGTTCAAATGGTAGTCATGTTATATGTCAATGTCCATTTTATAATCCTTTTATGCATTATATTTTACAAGTTGATGTTAGTATTTATATTTTATTGATTGAATTAATTATATGACAGTTTTTTTGTTTTGTTTTGCATATAGACTTCAATATCTGAAGATAATTTTGAATTATTAATGATTGATAATGATTTAAAAGATAAATGTTTAATTGATTCATTTAATAGATCAATTCAACAATCATTAAATAAAATTGATTATTATTTAAAAAAATTTTCATCATATCAACAAAAGAAACTTTTAGCTAAAGTTTGAATAAAAGAATTTTTTTATTAAATAAAAAAAAAAAAAAAAGTTCATTTTTTTTTTTCATAGAAATTTATTTCATTTATTGATACATTAATTGATAATGAAAATGAATGGTTAACTAAGAATTTTTATTTAAAATGGAATTTAACTATTCAATTTATTCAACAATTAGATTTTATTAGTTTACAATTAATTAATATAACAAATTCATTTATTTCTATTAATAAATATATTGGTATGAAGAAATTTTCGTCTCTAATATATGTAATGAAAGTAATAATGATAATTCTTTTTTTGTTTTAGAATTTTTTATTAATTCTCAAGAATTTGAAAATAAAAATCAATCAATAAGAATTTCAATTGATAGAAAAATTAATTTAACATTTTTTATTATTTCAAAATTAGATAAATATTTAAATATAAATCAATCATCAAATAAATTAAATAGTCATTTGGTTAATTTAAATATTAAACAAAACAATATAGAAAATATTCAAATCACATTTCGACATTTGGTAAGTGGACAAAAAAAAATCAATTGAAAATAAAAATACATCAATGTTTTTTTTTTTTGTTTTTAAATAGAATCTATTGAATAATTCTAATCAAATATCAACTTGTGTTTATTTGAAAAACATGACAAAGTAAGCGAACAAAAAAAAAAACACACGAAGACAACTATAAGTTTTACGGTGATTTTTGACTTGAGAACGTGATGAATCAAGATTTTCTTCTATTTAATCAGAAATTTATTACCCCCGAGTGGATCATATATGACCCATTTGTAGAACGATCACAGAAAATAAAGGAAGCATGAGACTGAAAAACTCCCGAGATATTATTTGTAGGAAACTTTACAAGCTATCGATTGGTAAAAAAAATATTTTGTTTCATTGCTCTGCCTTCGAGATACATGACTTACAAAATCAAAAATTTTGAAAAAAATGTAAAAATTCGAAATTTTTTAAACAAAATGTTTTCCACTTGCAGTCGATAGAGGTCTTTTAGAATTTCTGTGTGATATTAATCGATGAAGAAGTCCACTGCTGAATTAGATATGTTTCGAAAGTTTCATAATAACTCCGCGAATTATACATACTAAGGAATACAATTGACCATGTAATTACTGTTAGACGACAGATGGAGGGAATCAAGAACAAAGTTAATATATGCGTTATAGACCTCAACTCATGAGAAGTCGAAATAGTATTTATGATGAATTAAATTCCTCCAGACGTTACAAAATGGCTCAGAGTAAAATAGGTTTAAGTTTGATAATAGGTGTAAAAATAAAGCATGCATTCTTTTATGTTAATTTTTATCGGTTCATTCGTTGCGTTTTTCCTATCACTGCAACAGTACGAGATAGATGCTGCTCCTGTCGAGTCAATAATGTGGTCAAAGAAAAAAGAATTAAGTCTTATGATGTCGTACAATTCTCATTTTCCACCACATGATTTTTATATCAATCAAACCGCTCTACTCCAGAACCAGGACATTCGGTGGATTAGGCCACACCATTAGCATATTCGACAGACTAATACTCTATTTATAAAGTTATTTTATCAGTGGCTCTTCTGGAACTGCTATGGGGGGTAAAGCATTAAGTTCTATTGAGTACCGATGAGATTTTGATGGGAAATACTAACTTGCCGCAGCTACATTAGAATGTAATTGAAGTGACGCCCTTATTTGAAATCTCAATAGCTTAGATCCAAGAAAACTAGCGTTTTTACATCACGATTTTCGCCTAAGCTCGTAATAGGGTAAAAATTAATGAAGCAATTGGTTCTTTCTAATGATTGGAATAAACATCCTAGAGGTGGACAATAAATCTTGATAGTGCATTAGCTATTAGATACAGTAAAATCTCCCATAGTGGACACTCAGCGGTTCGACGGAGAGATTTTTGCTGGAACTGAACCTCCCTATAATGGACACCATCCGATACTGGACATTTTTGAGAAGTCTCATTCAGTGTCAACAAAAGAGCCTTCCTGTATTCTAACAATTGTTGATTTTTTTGTATTTCAAGAACAAAAATGCATGAGGAGAGAAGTAACAATGAGCACTGGTTAGTTATCTTATTCACTAACATCCTTCAAATCCTTAGAAAATGCGCCCACTTCTTCGAAAAACTTCGCTTTTTGAAAAGATCAAACCTTCCTATAGTGGACACTTTCAAAAAGTTCCATAGGTGTCCACTATAGGGAGATTTTACTGTAGATGAAGTTTTTATCAACAAATCTAAATACATTCTGTTCTGGAGTCAAAAGCTTGTAGGAGACTTTATATAAAAGAAAGATTGAATATATATTTTAGTACAAGTGATATTCAATGGAGTACTGATGGATGTTATTTATTATCATCGAATTTAACTCATTCAATATGTTCATGTAATCATTCATCGACGTTCGCTGTTTTAATAAATGTTCGACATATATTTGAGAAGGTTTATTTAATTTTAAAAAAAACATGAGAAATTTAGTTTTTTAAAAGTCTTTTTTTTTGGTTTTAGTCAATAATAAATATACATATGAATCGATTATCAGTTATATCGAAAATTGGATGTGTAACATCAATTATTTGTTTATTATTAACGATAATTATATTGGTGATGAGGTAATGATAGAACTTAATTTCTTTTTTAAGAATTATGACTATTTGAGTTAATGATTATGTTTCGAATAGGAACTTGTGTATAGAATTATATGTATTTATATTATATATCTTCAAAGTTTTAATATGTTCGATTCATAGATCATAGGCATTGAAAATATATTAAATACTTAAGAGAAAAATCCATTAATTGATTAAAAGCTTTTAAGTTGACACCATTTTATATCATGTATTCTTTTCAATCTAGATGATGTACATAGTCTTTGACATGTTAGTTATTTATTAATTATGTTCAGATAAATTCCATATATCATCATTTCTTATTGTTCATTCGTCTTTTAGTTGATAAATAAAATTCATTATTGAAAATTGTCAAACTTGTTGTAACAAAAAAAAATTTTCATTCGTCTTATAAAACAAATTTTGTTTATATGAATCTAACAAGATCGATGACTCTTCATTATGAAAACAGTACTTATATAAAAGATAGAAAATATATTTATAATATTGAGTCCGTTTCTCAAGAACAATGAAGTTGACTTCCTGTTTTTTTAAGTTTCAATCATGTCATTGTTCGGAACAATACTATACTTTTATTGATTTAGACTTTTGTTATATTTATCATTTTCTACTTGAGAATAGATTTCATAAATTCTGTATTCTTTCAAGTTCATCGTAGCGGATGCTAAGACCGAATAATTTCTTAAAAATTCAAGACATACATTGAGATTATTTTAAATCTATATTAAACTTGATTTTGAATATTATGAATAGAAAGTGTCAATTAGCAAGCTCGACATATGTATTATTCTTACTTTAGTGAATTATTTTTTTAATATATCTTTTGCATTAGACGTCGTATGGATATGAATGATGATCTAATAATTGTTCGTAATATTCTTCATATAAATATGTCAATATGTTTATTAATTGCTCAATTATTATATCTATTTGGTATAAATCAAATTAAATATAAAGTAAAAATAATATTCTTAATATAGATTATACAATTATTCAATTATTTATTTAGTTTGGTTGTCAAATAATAATTATTTTACTTCATTATTTTCTTCTTGCAACATATTCATGGATGTTTATTGATGGAATTGAATTAATAATTGCATTAAAACATACATTAAAAATTGATCGTATTAGAATATTAGCTTATTCATTATATGCATATGGATTTCCATTACTTATTGTTATTCTTTCTCTTGTATTATCAACTCATGAATATTATTCTAATAAACAGTATGTATTAATTGAATATTTTATTTTGAATTGAAATCTTAATAATAATTAATGAAATAGAAATATCTTTTTTGTATAACTAATTATGATAATGTGAATTAGTTGGAAGTTTTTCAAGCGTAACAGGATAATACTTTGCAGCAATCTTGAAGAACTTTCATTTTTTGTTTTCGAGTGGAGTTCCATCGTTTAATTGTTTTTCGGTACTCAAACTTTCACAATTCTGGAGACTTTCCGATACATCTGATTGTAAAGAATTTTATACAATTACAAATAATCTGATATTCAAAGAATTGAAAAATATTCTTATCGAACTTTTCTTTACTTATCTTATCTATTAGTTTAGTCAAGAAGATTATGAAAGCATTTGTCTCTTTCCCATGTAAAATATCTTAACTATATTCAAAATTTCAAAACATTTGTTTTTATTAGTATATAGAAATTACTGATGAAAAACATTAAATCCTAGGACAAATTAACCATAATATCATAATAATATTTCTCATTCAATGACGAATAAGATATAACAGTTTATTTTTTGTTTTATTCATTGAGCAATACTGATTACCAAGTGAAATCTTTCAAAGGTTATTAAAATGTCCTCTTACATATCTGATGTTAACACATAGCTATATTCCTACGATATCAAAACAGACTATGACAAAAATTACAGCTGTTTGAGTTTCTGCTTATAAACTGGATGGCAAACTTTAATCAATAATCAAACAATTTTCTTTTTCTTCTATAACTTATAGGGGTCGACAAGCTCACCTCAGTTCCGCTCAGAGGAACTGTTCGAACAGCTCTTTTGAGCTGAGCTGAACTGGTTCGTTTGAGCTGTGTTCCCAAAACAGAATACTTTTGTTCTTTTATGGGAATTATTTCCTCAAAACGGAACAAAAGTGTTCTGTTTTGGGAACACAGCTCAAACGAACCAGTTCAGCTCAGCTCAAAAGAGCTGTTCGAACAGTTCCTCTGAGTGGAACTGAGCTGAGCTTGTCGACCCCTAATAACTTACTATTGTTATTCTATAAATATAGAAAATGATCATAGATCTATTTGCTAGAGCGAACATTCTCCTATGAAAAAAATTCTCTTCTTAAAACTTTTTCTTGTTTTTTTTTTTTTGCTATAAAAACAAATGTTTATATTTTAGTTGTTGGTATTCTTATGACAATGCATTTATATGGGCATTTGCTATTCCATTTGTTCTATTTATTCTTGTAAGTTTTCTTTTTGTAAATATTTTTGGGAAAAAAATCTATTGCTATTTTTTTTATTTTTTCTTTATCAAGGCTAATATTTGTTTTTTTATTATATCAATTTATACAATTTGTAAACATCATAAAACTTCTGATTCTTCAAAAGAAATTAAGTAAATAAAAACTTATGAATAATTCAATGAATATATTTTTTGTTTTTTTTTGTTAGATTATCATTACGTGATATAACAATATTATCAATATTATTTGGTTTAACATGGTTAGTAGGTTTATTTCATCTTCATGAACAAAATCGAATTATTCTTTCATATGTATTTACAATATTAAATTCATTTCAAGGTTTATTTATATTTATATTTATATGTTTATTAAAAAATCAAATTCAAAATTTTTATATTCCTCAAATATTAAATATTTATAAAAAATCTAATATTGAAGAAAAAACAAATCAACATTATAATACAAGTAGTAGTGGTTATAGTTCAGCACATTCATCAGATTTAAATAAACAAATTTTATCATTAGATCATCAATCATCATTTCGTACAAATGCAGAATATTTATCAAGTATGCCTATTGGATTATTAAGTACTTTTCGTTATCAAACATCAAATATAACATTACCAATAACACTTGAACAAAATGAACAATTATTAAAAAAATATAAAATTGATTTACATCATCCACATGATGATCATCAGTATTATGAAATTGGTTAATGTTTGTTTTTCTTGTACTTTCTTTTTTTGTGTCCGGTGTTCTGTTTGTATAAAAATATAAGCGAAAAAAAAAAATTTGTTGTTGTTGTTGTTTTTTTTTTTTTTTATTTCAAATAATTGAATACAGGAATATATCAAGAGAATGTTTCTTTTTTTTTTCTTAGTTCAGTCAATATGTTCTTCATTTTTTAGAGATTCGAACTCTCTATTAGTTCTGATTGTGTACGTTTGCGAGTAAATGTAGTATCTCTTAAATTAAAATTACTTTTTCGATTAGGTTCAGAATTAGGTGATAGCAAACGATCATGATATTGTTTTTTACAATGATATATACATTTAATATATATACATATTCGTTCTCGAAATCCATTTAATGAAAGTGCATATATCAATGGATTGATACAAGCAGCTAATTTAGTAAACATACCAAGTAGTGATGTTGTATAAGCATTTACTAAATGATCAAAACCAAATATAGACAATAAGGCCATTAATGCATAAGGTCCCCATGCTGAACAAAATACAGCACATATGAGTAATGCTGTACGTGTTGCACGAACTTCTGTACGACGAATATTTCGCATTATATTATTATCATCACTTAAAGAACTAGATGCTGTTGTTCCTTGACGATCTCGACCTTCATTTGATAAACTTACGTGATTAAAATAATAGGTTATACCTTGTTGTTTAGTACATTGATCATCTTTAATTTGTGATGAAAATTGTCGTCCACGTTGATATAATTTAATTAAAATTAAACTGTATGCAAATAAAATAATTGAAAATGGAATAAAAAAACCACCCGTTGTTAATATTAATATAAATGAACGATCTCGTAAATTTTTTGATACATAATCAAATGTACATGATGTTCCAAAACCTTCTAATATAAAACGATTCCAACCAAATAAAGGTGGCATAATCCAAATAGATCCATATATCCATGCACATGCAAGACAAACTATTCATTAGAAACAACAACAACAAAAAAAAAATATTTTTCTTTTTTTTATTTCAATTAAATCTCTAAAATAACTAACTTAGAGTAGAATGACTACTTAATCTTAATGAACTAAAAGGATCATTAACAGCTATTAAACGAGTTAAAGCAATAGCTGCCATTGTTGATATTGATGTAAGACCAAATATACCACCACAAACAGAATAAAAATTACAACCTAAATATATAAAATAGAATTTTGTATAAGAATTTTAAATTCGAAAATAATAATATACCTATCTGTCCAAATATCCATTTTGTTTTAAATGATGAAATAACATGCATTGAATTATTAGTTAAAAGTAAACTAAAATCTGTAATAGCAAGATTAATAAGAAAATAATTTCTTGGTCTTTGTAAAACATTATTTCTATAATATAAATATAAATAAATTAAAATTAAAAATACGTCTTTTTGTTTCTTAATTTTACCTAATGAATACAAATATAACTAAACCATTTGATACTATACCAAATATTAAACATAAAAGTGAAAATATACCAGCACTATAATGCCATATAATCGGTATATGTTCTGTATCATTAGCATACCAAAAACGATTAACTTTCATTTGTCGATTAAATGAATGTCACTATTTTTAAAAAATAAAAATTAGTTTTTTTTTTTCGAATTTGAAATATTCTCCTCTTATGTAACGATATAATTTGACAGGTTAGATTTTTATAGATGAAAGAAATAAAACAAAAAAAAAACAAAATTCATCATTCTTATTTCGTCTTCTATTTCAAACTTCAATTCCTTTATGTTGTTGTCTCATAAAAACTATGACAAAAGAAAAAAGAAAGAGACCGGAAGTTAGGTCGACTTATGCGCAATAGTTTTCAAATAATATCTCGGATGTTGTTACCACGATATATATTAACTATCTATGATGATGAAGATCAGAAAAAAAAAAAAAAACTAATATAGTGAATTGTAAAAAAATGACATGAACACTTATATAAAGATAAGAATAATAAAAAAGGTCAACATTTGAAATGTATTCATTAACATATCATGCGATGCATAGAATTTTTTTTTTTATGATGATCAATTGTTTCAATTTATTAATCATAAAGAAATGCTAAAAATATTCCAAAAAAAAAAAAACGAGAATTTTAAAAATATGAAAAAGATATCAAATGAATGAACTAATTTTCAGTAAATTTATTTCGAGCTAATGATCTACATAAAAAACATTTTATATAAGTCAAGTCTTTCATTAATTTCCTATATTTTTATTCATGTTTTCTTCTTTTTCCATTAAAAATAAGCATTATATAAGAAAAAAAAGACAGCTAGAGAATACATTATTCTATGAATAGTTTTTCCATATACAATTATTATGCCTGATTTAATTACAAACTCGTTACAAGCAATCTTGTTCTATTTTTATGAGTCAAAGATTTTTTCGGTTTTCTTCATATAAAACATGCTCTTACAATTATCAAAGAAGGATGTAATTTAGTTATTTTCACAAAAAAATAATGAAAAGGTCTTCAAGAACATAATTTTATCTATTCTTTTTCTTAAGTTTTATGTATTAATTTTAAAAAAAAAAGAAGAAAGATTGAGACTACCAATAAAATGATATAATAGATAAATTGAATTTATTCTTATTAGAAATATAAACACGTTCTTATCGAAAAAATTGGTTTTGTTTCGGAAAGTCTCTATTCCCATGAAATATGACAATTATTCTTTAATAAAAATATTTTTCTTTTTTTATGACAATCATTATATCAATTCTAAAACACAAATAAAAATATATACGATGAATTGTTATCTCATTAACACAAATCATACAAATAAACATTTCATACCTCGATTTAATGTATTATATTTGCATTCATATCTAGTTACACATGTTAATTAATACATCTTGGATAAAATACTTTGTAAACAAACTACCAAAATAGTCTTTTGCATGTAATGCAAAGTAGAGCAAAATAAACTGTGTTGATTTAGGATTATGAAAATCTATTGCATAGATTATCATTTTGTTGATGTGTCGTGTTGAACAAATATATGATAAAAACATTCTATTCTTCAAAAAATAGACAAAATATTAGTGTGTGGCTAAATATATATAACGATTTTTCAAGAATAAATCTGTAGTATGAAAAGAATACATTAAACTAAAATATATTCCTTGTATCATAAACATTGTATATACAAAAAACAATTTGGTTTGTATGTGTTCAAATATATGCTTCATTATTTGAACTCTTTTTCTTTTTAAACTATGAAAGCACTATACTATTTATAGATCAATTAGAATGATTAGTTTTTTTTTATAGTATGCGCAACATATTTTTAAATAGTGTAATTATGTGCCTAGTACAAACTTTGTCCAATAACAAAAATAAAAAGTTAAGTAATTACAAATCAATTTGATTACTATTAATTACTTCATAATTGTTATTAATTATGTTGCTTTTCTTTTTTTTATTCTCGTTTATATAAATGAATGTAAAAAATAAACAAAAAAACAAAAAAAAAATGAATAGAATTATATTTGATTAGATGAATCAATTTCATCAAGATTATATGTATTCATTATTGTTTTCATATCATCATAAAGTAAAGAATTATTATTTAATGAAGGAAAATCAAGTAGATCATCAAGTTTATTTGGAGATTTTAATATAATTAAAGCTAAATTTTTCATTGGATGATCATAATTTGATAATAATGATGATGATTGTGATAAATTTGTTGATAGAATCATTGATTCTTGTTGTTGTGATGATGATGATGATGTTCGTTGATATTTAAATTTATTTGTAAATATTGACCAATTTGATTGTGTATGTTGTATTGATTGTTCAATATCATTTTGTATTGATGAACATATATTTAAATTTTTTCGTGATTTTTTTGTTGGTTTTAATAATTTTTTATTTATTAATGATATATCATCTAATGATTTTCTATAAAATAATTCATTTGAACTTAATGATAAATTAATATTAATTTGAAAACATTGTTGTAATGCATGTTCTAATAAATCATGTTGTGTTAATTGTTTTTTATTATGATAATAAATAATTGAACATTTAAATTTAAGTATACATAAATGACGAAGTGATAAAACATTTATTGATAAATTATTATTATTATTATTATTATTATCATATAATTCATTATTTGAAATAATATTATAATTACGTTTATAATTAAGTAATTTTAATAAATAAATAATTGTATTTAATTGATTTAAATAAGCAAGATCAAGTAATGTACGACTAAGATAATCTTGATAATAATGAAAATCAACATATTCAATAAAACAATAAAATAAACGTATATGACGTTTTAAAATAATACTTGATGATAACATTGCATGTAAACATGTTTGATTATCATTATCTAAATGATAAGCATTAGCACCGGCATGAAGTAAAGTTAATGCAACATCAATATGACCTTCAATACAAGCATAAAATAATGGTGTTTGATTTTTATGATCACCTTGATTGAGCATTTTAAGAATTATTTCATCATCAACGGATGAATTAAGTAATTCATGAATTATTGGTAATGAACCAAGAAAAGCAGCAATATGAAGAACAGTCATGCCTTGATCATTCATAGCACATAGATATGCACCATGAGATAATAGAAAAGCACAGGTAGATGGATGATTACTAGCACAAGCACACATTAATGGTGTCCAATATTGTCTGAAAATAAATAAAAGATTCTTTTTTCTTTGCTAATCTTTCAAAAAAAAAAACAAAATGCTTACGCATCTGGTATATGAACAATATATTGTTCAGTATCGAAAGGTGAAAAAAAATGTTGAATTAATCGATTATTTCCAGTTGATACAGCTAAATGAAATGAATTTCGACCAGTATTATCTTGTTTTAACATATCAGCACCATGCATTAAAAGTATCTGTACAATCTATTTATCTAGGAATGATGATACTATATTTCTGTTCTTTTTTTTTTTTTTTTTTTTATTTATTAAATTAATCTCACTTCTTCATATCCCATATAAGCAGCTATATGAAGTGGTGTTGATAAACTTAAATCACAAAGATTGACTTGTGCACCAGCTTGTAATAACATATGTATCGCACGTATATTACCTGTTTCAACAGCAATATGTAATGCTGTTGCTTTTGTTATTGGATCTGGTTGATCTGGTGGAAAACCTTAAAATAATTATATTGATAAAAAAAATCTCTTAAATATCTATGTTTAATAAAACATTTATTCATTTACCTGCAATAAGACATTTATGTAATGTATCAATATCATTATCTTGAACAGCATTTATAAATGTATTTATATCGAGTACTGGTAAAATAGATGAAGTATATTTTCGTTCAGTATTTGATTGACTACGAAATAGATCACGTAAACGCTAAAATATAAAATTGATAAGCAAAGTTGTTTCTTCAAAAAAAAAAAAAAAAAAAAAAGTCGACAACTTACCATATTTCAAGTATGCACAAACATACACACACGCATACACGAGTTTGATCAGTATGAAAGCAGAAGAGAAAGAAAAGGTAAGGTAGCTATTAAGATTATGAATCGTCGTCGTCGTTGTCGTCATCAAACATCAACTATTCAATTTTTTCCTTTTTTTTTTTGCTGTTTATGCTTTGAATCGATATAAAGCATACACACACATACACTAGAGAATTAACTGATTCATACTATTTATAAATTTAATCCACCGATTGATGCCAATCGTTTGTTAAAAATGATGACAAGTACTCTTCACTAGTCGTATATACAAGCGGTCCGCCTTAGTAAAACAAGAAAGAAGAGTATGTGTGTGTAGGTAGTAAGAAAGAAATGAATGATTTATTTTATTTGTTGGTATCGATAGCAGTAAATGGTGAGAGGGAAAAGAAAAAGAACACGATGAAGAATGACAGACTGAGAAATCGATATGATGGTAAATGAGTAAAGACATAGAATAGAAAGAAACTATTGTTTTTATTGTATAGTTTAGAGATAGAAAACTCAATTATATTAATGATAGTCTGATACAAAGCAATAAAGAAAGCATTTATTATACATTTACCAGACTCTTCTACTATATATAATAGAAAATAAAATACAAGAAATGGCGTGTTTAACTACGTCTACTATTACAAAATGATTATAAAACATACAATTATATATGTTTCAAACATGATTACAAAATACTTATAAAATATTATATTAATGAAATCTATTCTTCTTAACATGTTTTAAGAAATAATTACTTTGCCTGACTTATCCGATCATAAAAATTTGAATTATATATACATTATATTACCATATATAGGAATTTAATATTACATTAGAAAATAAAAAATTTCCGTTCTTTTTTTTTTTTTTTTGTTTTTTTTAAAGATTTCTATGTACATAACTAAACTAATTATATAGAAAACAAAAAAAGAAAATTTTAACTTTTTTTTAAAAAAATTCTCTTGATCTTAATTCAACAATAGTTGTCATAGCAAAAATAAACATTGCAGCAAACATCAAAGCAATAAATGATAAATTACATAAACAAAATGAAAAAGCAATATTTTTTTTTAAACGTGTTCTTCCTTCTTGTTGTTTTAATATATTTTGTTTAACTTGAAATTTTCTTCGTGCTACTAATTGTGCTATTGTATCTAATTGTAAATCATCATCACCAATAAAACGACCTAATACAAGATCACGTATACCCATTGAATAAATTCTACCATCTTGTTCAACATGTACAACTTCATTATTTGGTATTGTTTTTAAATTAAAACTTGTTTTAGTTGTTTTATTTAATGTTCCATCATCTTGTTGACGAAGTATAGACATTTCACGCATATCTAATATATGTTTACATATTATTTCACGTAAATGTATCCAACGTAAATCACGTTCAATTATTTTCATACGTGCATATGATTCACTCATCATAGCAATATCATGTAAATGATTACGAACAAAATGCCATTTTGAATTTCTTGATAAATAATGTGATGGACGACGACTTGAACGTTGTGAAAGAGTTTGTGTTGAACGACGTCGATTAAATGAACGTAATGTTGTTGTTGATGGAAATGATGAATGCATTCGACGACTAAAACGATGTTCTAATAGAGTACGTCTTAAATATTCAACACGTTTTTGTTTAGAAGATTTTATTTCAAGAAATGATGGTTCAGAACTATGTTGTTCATTTTCATATGTTGAATTTATTAATTGATTTTTTTTATTTATTAAATTTTGTTCGATTTCATTAGGATATAAACTAAGACGAATTTCTGATGGTGATCGATGATCATGAGTTACAATTAATGAACGTTTTCGACTTGAATCAGTTGTTGTTGTTGTTGTTGTTGTAGTTTCATAATTATCATCAAGATCATCATCAGTTGTATCTATTGATGATTGTTTAACATGAAGAAAACCTGAAGCTGAACGTGTTTGAGAAAAACGTTGTTGTCGATCAGTTTCAATAGAATGAATTATACTTTGTGGAAATGTTTTTAAAGTTTTTGGTACAATATTTAATGATGGTGGACGTAATAAATGATGATGTTCCATTTGAAATCTTGGTTCATCATCATCATCCGATGGACTATCAATAATTATTTTTGTTGTCATTTTAATTCAAATTCAATAAGAAAAAAAAAAAAACAAAGAACATCTAGAATAATATATACTATTAAATAATATTTAAATTAGATTAATTGATTTTATTAGTAAATAGAACTACTTACGTACGCACGAAAAAAGAAAAAGACAGAGAGAAAAAAACAAGGGAATACAACCAGATGTAATATAACGTATGACAATTAGTCAATTTTCAATACATTTTCTTTTTTATGTCAGGAGTCATGATTTTTGTTAATCTATATGTAAGAGACGAAAAAAAAACGAAAGGTAATTGTATGTTGTCATATGATAAATAACTTATACAATGTATTACTTCGCAACAATGATAAAGAGAAAAAAAAAACAGAATAAAAATTGTGTAATATTTTCTCTTAATCGATATTTGGTCATATCTCAAAGAAAAAAAAGTCCTTGATAGATATTTCTATAATGGATTAGACTGTTGTTGTTTTTTTTTCAAGGTGATATATCGAGGGTTCACTCAATAATATTTATAAGATTTATCAAAAATATATTCTAATTTACTTTCTTTCGAATTGATTTCTCTTGTATAAATATTAAATTTATAAGTAACTAATATTATTTTACTTTTTGGAAAAATAATAATAATAATAATAATAATAATGAATACATATATATAACTAAATTAAAAAAACACGAAGAAATATAAAATCGATTCTTATCAGATAAACATTTTTATTTGTAGATGAATATCACTTCCTTAATACTATATTCAAATATCTACATATAATATTTAGTATCAAAACATATGTATAAAGATATAGATAAGGAAAAAGAAATCTCCAAATATAAGATAAACTCGAGTTTATATAACCTTGTAAAACTATAAATAAAAATAAAAAAAAAAAAAAAACATTTCCTCAAACACCAGAGGAGAACTTTGATCGGCTAATCCAGACAGTTATTTATCTCTTTACCATACATATATATATATATATATATGTACTTATAAAGAAAGTTTTATGCATTTAGATAACAATAAATAGAAAAAGAAAAAACACAACACTATTGTCATATGTCAATCTATAAGATAGACTAACAAAAAAAAAATATTATTGTTTCTTCTATATAAACTTTTTATTTTATGGTTTAAGGCTATTCAACAAAAACAAAAAATAATTAAAATACGCCATTTTCTTTTATGTTTTGATAAAACTAGATTAATGTTTACCATAAAGAAAACAAAAAAAGTAAAAATCGAAGAAATTTATTATTTCTTTCTTTTTTTTTTCTCTCTGATAAGTAATAATAATTTACCTCACAAAAAAAAACAACAATACGTTTTACACTGCCGTTTTATGATAATACAGTGAAGTATATTGATCTATAGAATCAACTGATTTATGATTATCGTTTTTTTTTTTGATACTTACAAGCAAGTCATGACTTGATTGAGAAAAAATCACATATTGCAGTGAATCAAAATTAAAATACAATTAAATTTCATGTGACCTAAACATAAGTCATTGTCAGGCAAGATATCAAGATGAGATAATTTTGTCTCATTGATTGATAATTGTATTTAATTTCATTATTGAAATAAATTGTTTTCTAGAATATTTTATTTAATATCAAAGCGAATAGTGAAGTATACTTTTAAAAATCAGGTTTGTTGCCCTGGAATTGATGGTTATTGTATCACATATGATGTATTTGGCATTCGAAAAATTGTTGGAAGCCCTCCTGGAGTTTTTAATTGCTCCTTTCTAAGAGAAAAATTTGTATGAAACATGAAGTTCTTCTATTATTAATTTGATTTTGTAACATTTTTGTTGTATTTTTCTTTTATCTTGAAATAAATATTAAAAGAATTTTTCTTTAATAAATCTTAAAAAATTTCTAGGCGTGAATCATACAGTTTAATGTAAAATTTTGCTAATATAAAATACTTAAAATCAATCAAAACTTTAATAAAACAATTCTAACTCGGCTCTAAAAGCCTCTAAAGATAAATATCTCTAAATACTTCATGATCTTCTAATAATAATCCTATTAAAATTTGATAAATTGCTTTACGATCAAGACGATATTTATTTCATGAGTGTTAGTGTGAAACAGAAAAGTCTTCGAACCTTCGTTTTACGAGGGAGGGCCCCCAACTGATCAATTGCTTTTGCGTCGAGGTTATGTACATTATGTAGGTACAAATGAGCTATGAATACCCTAAAAAAAGTTTGCGCTGCTAGCTTGTTGGTACGAAGATACTGCACTTTTACAGTATGCTTTAAATAAATGCTGTGGTCTCGCTCAGGAACATCAGAAAAAATGATTTTCGAATTTCGACTTGAAACTTTACGCAGAAACAGACCTTACTGAGAATAGTATTTTGTGAAAATTTTAGACTTTTTTGCTATTGCTATCCGTAGATACGGATATGATAACTTCATTCGGATAAACCAGAAGATTTCATGCTCTCATTTCAGAATAGGAACATATCAAAAGACCTGAAACCTTCATAAAATACTATTCTCAGTAAGATCTGTTTCTACGTAAAGTTTCAAGTCGAAATTCGAAAATCATTTTTTCTGGTATTCCTGAGCGAGACCACGGCATTCATTTAAAAGCATACCGTAAAAGTGCAGTACCTTCGTACCAACAAGCTAGCAGCCTAAACTTTTTTAGGGTATTCATAGCTCATTTATACCTACATAATGTACATAGTCTCGATGCACAAGCGATTGATTAGTTGAGGACCTTCTCTCGTTAGTGATATCATTATTTTACTAAATTTTTTAACAAAAATTTCTCTTCATCCTCCAATCACATGAAAAATCGACTTTCGAGTTTCAGCTTTAAACTTTGCATAACGAGTTCTCCATGAGATTAGTTTTTTTTTCTGTTTTAGAGAAATTTCAATATGCTCAATGATTTAGAAAACTAAATCTCTATTAATCACTGATACTCCTCAAATAAATATTGTGTCACTTGAAAGATAATTTTTGACATTTGAAGAGATTCCATAGTTTAGTCTCTATAGGCGAAAAAAAAAACAACATCATTGTGACATTTCAAGAGATATTCTTAGTTAGTTCTGTAATATTTCTAATTTTAATACATTACAAAAATCTTTCCATGTCTAATGAAAACAATATGATCGTATTGAATATGATATATTTTCATTGTTCAATTTATTCCACTTTTTTTTAAATAAGATATACACTTAATTCATTACATCAGATTGAAAAATAATTATTTCTGTTATATTTTAAAGCATTTTATTCTTAATTCTATATCATAGATAATTAATATTGTATATTATTATAATATCTAAGTTTTAGTAATCATAAAACATATAAATTAGACAAATTTATTCACGAAATTGACAAACAATATGATAAAATAACCATAAACATAAAGTAATACATAATGATATACATATTGTTTGTTTATTTGGTCTTAAACGAGAATTTTTAATAAATATTATTATAATCCAAAAAAGATTTATTAAATCTGATAAAATAAGTGCAAAATTTCTTCCTATTTCATCAGAATTTAATTCACCAAAAGCAATAATAACATGTAAAAATGATATTATACCTAATATATAAATAAACCATATTGATATATGTTTTTTATTTTTTATAATTAAACATTGATAAAATATATATGTAACAATAAGTTCTGTTAATGAAAAATATATTTGTGATTTTAACATTCGATAATAATCACCATCATTTATATAATTAATAATTGACCATATACCATAAAAATTTGAATAAATTCCTGGTATTAATAATAATAATATAAATTGTTTATTAAATATTATTTTTATTATATATTGACGTAAAAGTTCAATATAAAAAATTATAAGACATAATATAATAATTATTTGTTGTTCATAATTAAAATAAAATATTTTATAACCACCACGTGAATGTTTACCACGAAAAAATCCATCCCAACAATCACATGTACAACTATTTTTATTAACTAAAAAATAAACATTTTGTAAATGATAACCTGATATTTGTGTTGATGTAACAAGTCCTATAGAAATAATAAGTGTAACAAATATTGTTGATAATAAATAAATAATTATTGATTGTATTTGAATATAGAATTCATTTTCATTTATTGATAACATCATTCTTGATAATATTTCTTATAAACTAAAATAGAAATGAAACAAATTTTTTAATAAGAATTTTATAAACTAACGTTCGTTAATAAATACAGTGAAGGCTCATAACAACATGTACATTTTTGTTTTTACGCATAAACGAATAATAAGGATACTCTGAAAATTTTCTCTCATATCGGACTTTGTAAAGCTTTTTTCGCTGATCATTTTGGTAAAAAAATGTTTTTTGATTTTCATTGAGTAATGAAGATGTTATAGTCAAAATACTATATCTAATTACACCTGAACATACTCTGAAAATCACACTAAAACCTCACTAAATTCGTTGCTTTTCAAATAGTAATTATAGAGTTTTGCTCAGTTTTTTATGTTCTTTCATATGAAAGAGTTGGAATTAAAAAAAAAAAATCAAAATTTTATTAATTAATCGCTAATTATTATTAATTATTAATTAACTACAATATAAGTATAAGTGCCTATTATCAAAATGTAACCCATTAAATTCTGCGTCGAATGATATATAGAACATCTTTCAGATGTTGCGAAATAACGTAAGAATTAACCAAATACTAAAAGTGTGCTAAACTTTTTTCCCTACTTTATATTACAGTGTTTAGTATTTTGACTATAACATCGTCACTACTCAATGAAAATCAAAAACATTTTTTTTACCAAAATGATCAGCGAAAAAAGCACTACAAAGTCCGATATGAGAGAAAATTTTCAGAGTATCCTTATTATTCATTTAATCGTAAAAACAAAAATGTACATGCTTTTTTGAGCCCTCACTGTATGTTAATTTTTAATTAGTTCAGTGATATACAGTGAATACCAAAATTATTCAACAAGGTTTATTTTTAATTTTTCTTCGCTGTCTTAAACGCTAAAAAGAATCTAAAGTGTGATTCTAGTAGGTAAAAATTGTTTTCAACAAGAATATAGGGAAATAAAAATTATAATTAAATTTCTAAGGACGGGGTCTCCAGAAAACCAAAATCCTAATTTTTCAGCATCTAGAGCTCGTAAATATAATTTTCTTCAGACTATGTACAATAATAGAGGTAACAATTTTCTACAAAATAAGACATCCTCAAGCTCTCTACGACATTTTTTCGCTGAGATACAGCAAATTGATTGTAGGGCCAAAAGTAGTTTTTTCATAGAAAATGATGGAAAAACGACTTTAGAGGATTCCGTAAGAGTGCTGTATCTTAGCGAAAAAACGCCGTAGAGAGCTCGGGGACGTCTCATTTTGTAGAAAACTGTTCCCTCTATTATTGTACATAGTCTGAAGAATATTATATTTACGCAGCGGAAAAAAATTAAAAATAAACCTTGTTGAATAATTTTGGTACTCACTGTATATATATATTCAATAAATTCAATGAGTTTATAATCAAATTACATCGTATACAACTCAATAGTTCATTCAATAAGTTAAGGATATATATGATTACAGTTAATATACTCAACTTTTGATTATAACAAATATTAACAATACGAATAGCAAATAAATAAGAGTAACTTTTGTTTTTTGTTTTGATCTTAAAAATTTGCACTCAACTGAAAAATTTGTTATTATTTAAATATTTTAATAAATTATTATAATTCAGAAACTTATAATAAAACTCGTTAAAAGGCTTTACTTGACGAGAAAACATTCTGATGTATCAATTTGCTTTAAAATTAACACTATGTGTATTCTGTAGACTCTAATGAACTCTGAATATTTTGAAAAGAGTTCGTATTTCTGATTTATTTCTGTTGAAATATTTGATTTCGATACCATGCATTTTTTTTAACACATTGTCGTGCTTCATTCTCAAGGTTACTTGAAAAATCGACTTTTTAAATTTCTTGATTGCTTCAAACTTAAACTAAGAAATTCGAACAATAATATTTTTTTCTTATACTCGTAAGAATATTGAAATTTTCAGGATAAATTAGTCGTATTGCAATCTTTCTCAGAGCAAAACTATCAAATCAAAATTTGAAAAATTGATTTTTCAAGTAATTCTTCAAAAAAAAAAGTCACGGCATTGTGTTATAAAAAAAAACATTAAATATTCTGATAGAAATAAATGAAGGACATATCTTTCTTTTTTAGGATATTGAGTATTGTTTATTAGAGCCTACCGAATGCAGATTGTCTGAACTTGAAAATAAACAAAAACGTGAAAATGTTTTCTTGATAATATCGTGAACCCAAAGACGAAAAAATTAATATTTCATTATTTTTTGTTATAAATGTCGCAAATTGTAGCAATATAAAATTACTTTCGAGTTATACTGTCTTACTTCAAATGTAAAGTAAACTATTCAATGAAATTTACGTTAGTTCTTTCGTTCTCTTTTTATTACATTTCATATATTTTAACGTGAATGTGCAAAAAGAAAATATTCTTTCGTTAATATTGCTCTTTTTTTATTGATTCGATGGAAGAAAAAACGAAAAAAGAAAGATGACAAATGAAGGGAGAAAAAAAAAAGAACGAAATACATGCATTAAATGGATATATTTAAAATGTATGTGTGAAACCTAATGCACGTCTCCTTTTATGTTTTTTTTAATGAGCTTCTTATTAAATGTTCTTAGTATATCGTTCATTGAAATATAATCAACGATAACCACCGTATAATCTGGCAGTTTGACCTTGTTGTTGATAATTTTGTGTTCCTCCATATAAATTTGCATATGTTGGAACAGGAAATGAACCAAAATTTGTTTGAACAGCTCCATTAAAACCACCTGTTGCTAGATTTACAGTTGGTATACCAGGACCAACAACTATTTATATTACAATAACAAAAAAAAAAAGAAACAAGACATGGAAGTAATTAATAAAAATATATTTACCTGCACCAGTTTGTACTAATGGTGCAACATCAACAGCAGGTGGTGGTGAAGCACCAGTACTAACTAAACTTGCATAACCTGATGAAATAAGTTCACCAACAGAGTAAACTTCTCCATAAAAATTAACTACTGGTGGAAGAATATAAACTAATAGAAAAAACAATTTTGCTTTCTTTTTGAGATAAATAAAAAAAAATATGAAAAATAATTTTACCACCGCCTTGTGGTGAATAGATGATTGTTTGTTTTGTTCGACGTTCAACAAAAATTGGTAACCATGGAAGAAAATTAATAAGTGGACCAAATGATGCTAGAAACAAAAAAAAAATTTTTTTCTATTTGATAATTTATAATTAAATAATTTTAACATACGATATCGACGACGATTATAACGAGCAACAGGAAAACGAAATCTTTTTGATTTTCCTTTTTTACCACTTTTAGATGAACCTCTAAGATAGATATTCATATGACCAACATAATCTGGTGATTTACGCTATGAATAACAAAAAAAAAGATTTATTTTGTATGATTAATATAAACATATTTACACGTCGTTTTGATTGTTTTCTTGAAGGTCTAACATCTGTATCATCATCATCATCATTATTTTTACTTGGTCTTTTTCTATTTGAATCTGTATCATCATCATCGTCATCATCATTACGATTTGGTTTTTTTACATCTTTAGTTTCAGAATTTTTCATTTCATTTGAAACTTTTGTAATAAAAAAAAGATCTTATTTTATATGAGAAAATTATTAATTATATTTACCTGGTGCTTCTGCAGTAGCTAAATTTAATAAAAAAAAAACAACAACGAAATGATAGATTTACTTTATTAAAAAATAAAAACATTATTGTTTTTTTTTTTGACTTACTTTCTTCGCAATGATATTCATAAATAATTGCTAATAAAACCAAGATAAATAAAAGCTAGGAAGAAAATTATTAAAATAAAAAAAAAAGAGATAATTTCTCGTTTCAACTAACTTGAACACGCATTTCTATCGTATTTTTTGCAAAATAAATGTAATTAAATGAGACCTTACTATTGACTTTTTATAAGGATAAAATACGTGAATAAATGTAGAATATTTTTATTTTTAATGTTATCTTTAAATTCTCCTACACACTACTTATCAATAAATTCAAATTATTTTGACATAAATGGTATTTTATTATCAATCTACGTGGGAAAATTTCTTTAAAATTTCTTTTTGAAATTGTTTAAAAATGTAATCTATAATGTTTACTTGATATGTTAGACTCATATATTTATTCTAATATAGTTTCTTTATAAAATAATAAATAATTTTCAATGATTGAGAGTGTATACAGCTTTTGCTTTTATTATTGTGACTTAGGCAAATTATATTTTTCGAACAAAAGTTGTTAATTATTTTACAGATTTACAAGTTGTTGAAAATGTTTTAATATACTTATTAAAACGTTTATAGTAATTTTCAAATTAATGAAAGATGAGTTTATTTTTTTTTTAATGTCAATATCTGTTTTTTGCTAAATTTAAAATATTAATAAAGCTGACAGAAAATAATTGTTTCAAACCAAGAAATTAAGAGTATGACGATCCTGTCTGATTATATTTGGTTTCGGTCAGAACCAGAAAAAATCCAGGATATTAGACAAATTTAATATAAGTATTTTTATTCTCCTAAAAGAAAAATTAAAATCGTTGAAAGTTTATTATCTGTGTTTGAATTTATCCAATAGTCAAATGTCGAAACTTCAATAACAATATGATGTCGAGCAGTATTGCTTAATCTGAGTATTAATACTGAATATCATTCATTATTAATATAAAGAATGAATATATTCTTAAGTAGTAAAATTGAAATCTGTTATATATGTTTAATCGAAAGAATCAATGAAAGTTGTTTTTTTTTAGATCGATAATTTTATTTTATATTTATGTTAAATAGTGTCAGACACTATTTTTCATCAAAATTGGATTTAGGAAGCTTAGACAATCATAGGATTTTAACATTTTATAATTCGAATGTTGTATTGATTAAATTTTATATTCACAAAATTGAATAGATAGATAAATATTTTATGTTATTTTGAAAATAGTATATGACACACATGTAAATCTCATGAACTTAATTCTTTATTTTTATATATAAAATAAAGAGCACAAAAAAAAAAACAAAAACCTATTAATCTGATTTAATATATGATTCATTTCTTTTTAATGGCTTTATTTTGATATTTACTATTAAGAATCTATTTCTTATTATTTCTTTTTTTTTTAACATTCATTTTGTTTTGAATAAAATATGTTTCATAGAAGAACAATTATTTATCTATTTTATATTATTATTTTTAATAAACAATATAATTTAATTTATAGTGAATGTCCACCAAATTCAATTATTGAACCATGTTCATGTGTTTTAACAATACCATCACATACTTATTTATTATATAATGATTTTGAACCTGAAACAATATATATTGAAAAAAAATCTATTGTATGTGAACATATATATAATTTATCATTTGATATACAAAAAATTTTTTTTAATCTTAATTCATATTTAAATAATAATGAAACAAATTTTGATAATTTTCTTTTATATAATACATCTATTCAATATATACCAAAAAATGTTTTTTATAATATAACATTTAAAAGTTTAATGTTTCAAGATAATATTTTATTAACAATAATTGATGAATATGCATTTTATAATTCTAAAGATTATATTGAAGTATTTGAAACATTAAATACAAATTTATCTGATAGTAATACAATATTTTCTATATTAAGACAATTTCAAAATTTACGTCGTATTAGTATGCATAATGATCGTTTAACAAATATTCCTGATTATGCATTTAATCATACAAATTTAATAAATATTTGGTTTGGTCTTGAAAATCGACGAACAAATCAACCAATAAAAAGTATTGGTCAATATGCTTTTTATAATGTACCTAATTTAAGATTTTTACGTATATTTTCACCTTATTTAATACAAATAAATAAATATTCATTTGCTCAACATATACGTTTATCATCAAATACTACATTAGGTATTTATATAGGTGGACAATTATTAAATTCAACTAGTTTTCCATTAACATCATTAAGTCGTTTTCGTAATCGAAGAATATATTTACGTTTATATTTTACAAATATAACATATTTAGATGAAAATATATTTCAACCATTTCTTGAAATTAATCCATTTTCAATCATTGATATGCATCCATCAAATATACATTTTCAATGTGATTGTCAATCGGCATGGATTCAACATGATTATTCACGAAATGTTGATGAATTAGAAAATCGTGTTTATGGATATAAATGTTGGTCATATGATTTTTCTAATTGCACATTAAATAAATATAAAGAAAAAAAAAGCCTATTAATTAATTAATCTATTCGTTTAAATTATATTTAACAACAATACAATCCGTTTTTTACAGCATGTTCAAACAGTTATTCATATACTTTTCCATCGCAATAGCTTTTCTGGAATGTCCTATACGTTCTTTTCTGTTCTTAATGATCGATCTATATTTTTTTTTGTCTATCCTTCTAGATATATGTAGATATATAATTCCCAGTATTTGCAGTTATGGTACAACTATATGTATACATCATTTTTCTCTCTTTTTTTTTTTTTTTTTTCTATTATGTATACATAAGCAATAGAAATAGGAAAAGAAATACATATTCGTTTGTATGTTTATCGGTCTTTTGTTTGTCATTGATACATAAAAAGAAGTCTTGCCGTATTCAACATGAGTCGATATAAATCAACAAATAGTTCGATTAAAAGTCATCTATCAACAGCAAGTCTACCAAAAGAAGAAGTTAATGTTGTTTTACTCGGCAAGCAAAATGTTGGTAAATCAGCCATAGTTGTTAAATATTTAACAAGACGTTTTATTCGTGAATATGATCCATTTCTTGGTAAAACAAAAAAAAACATAAATACAGTTTTGTTTTTTTTCTTCTTTTTGTTTTTTAAATAAAACAAATCTCTGATATTTTGATGATAGTTTTTCTTTTTTAATTTTTAGAAGATACTTATTGGAAACCAGATGTTGTTGATCAACAAGAGGTTCTTGTCAAGGTCATGGACACTTATGGAAAAGTAAACACCAAAAAAAAAAAATATCGACAAAGTTTTATTTATTCTAGGATGATAAACGTTTACCATATTACTTAAAATGGGCTGATGCTGTTTTAATAACATATAGTATAACTCAACAAGATAGTTTTGAAATGGCACTTGCTTATTTAGATGCAATAAATACATATTCAAAAAATTTAACTGTATCAAGTAATGAACTTGTTATTATATTACTTGGAAATAAATTAGATCTTGAACGTACGAGGTATGAAAAATTTTTTATTTTTTTTTCTAAAAGACGAAAATCACTTATTTTTATTTTTATAAGAGTTATTCCAAAATCTGAAGGTGAATCTGTAGCGGCTAAATTTAGTTGTGCTTTTTGTGAAACAACAGCTGCTGATGATTATGAATATGTTCAACAATTATTTCATCGTACTGTACGTGAAGTACGTAAAGAACGTGAACGTACTATAATATCAAATACTATTAATGAAGAACCAGCAACACCTGAAATAAATATAAATACAAATACCAATGCAAATGCAAATACAAATACAAATGGTCCTTCTCCTTCATCATCTTTATCATCAAATTCATCAATAAATTTTTCAATATCAAATGAAACAGATAAAAATTTATCATCAAATATTCCATTACCACCACCTATGCCAGCAACACTTACACCTAAATCAACACCAATAACAACAAATTCTAAATCTGATTCACAATCATTAACTAATTCATATACTCCAAGTTCATCACTTTCATCTATAGGTAAATCAGGTTCATTACCAAGAGTTGGTTCAGCATCAACATTATCATCAACAACAGTTTCAACTAATACAAATTCTCAAACAACACCATCTACTGCTAAACGGACACCATCAAAAACATCTTATGTATTGTCAAAAATTTTTAAATAATTGTATTTTAAAAAAAAAACAAAATCCATAAAATTTTCTTTTGCATCAATATGATAAACAAAACTAATTAACAGCATAGAATCATCTCTGATCACATAACAGAATTGTTTAACAAAATTTTTCGACATCTCGCACTGTCATCCATTTTTTTCATTTTTTTTTTTTTTGGTTGTTACTATGAAAAGAAAAAGAAAGTATTCAAGAGCTCATTGAATTGAAAATATAAGATCAATAAAAAGATCTTATAACAAAAAAAAGATTAATCAATAAAATAACTTTATTTTTAAAGTTAAAATATAATCGTAGACATATGAGGTTCATTTATTGAACAAACATATCTACTGTCTAACAAATTCAGCATAAAACAAAAAAGAGAAAATGTTTTTTTAAATATAAACGAATGCTTATCTATTTAAATATGATTAAAATGCTGTCGGAAACATTTGTCCTTGATATTTAACACCACTATCACCACTAACATAACAATAATTAAGCATATCATCATTAATATGAAGATCATATGAAGGTTTTACTATTGTAGATGTACCTGTATCATCTACAACAGAATTTCTAGGTGTTATTAATAATGATGATGATTGTAATGATAATAATTGATTATCAATTAATTCTTTTGATGTTAATGATGATTGAGATTGTTGAAATGAATTTAAACGAAAATTTTTTATTGAACGTTGAAATTGACGATAATTTGATAATGGTCGTATAGCACGTTTTGCTGTTATAGATATTGTTGGTGTTGATGATGAATCTGATGTTAATGAAACAAGTGAATAATTTGATGGTGATTGAAATGTTTGATTTTTATTTGAATTAAATGTTATTGCTGTTTCAATATGATCTGTAATACCTTGTTCTTGTTTACGACGTGTACGTGCTAATGATTGTCTACGAAGATGAGCAAGAAAATGTCCATATTGATATTGTGGACGTTGAGAATTTTGATGTTGTTGTTGTTGTGGTGGTGGTGAAGGATTGAAATAAGTATTGGCTATATGAGGTGAAATTGGTTGATGAGTTGTTGATGTTGGTGTATTAACAACATATAAAAATTGAGTATTTTGTTGTGATTGATAATTAGAACGATAAGATGTTGTTGGACGTATAGTTGTTGTTGGATATGTAATTGAAGGTTTTGATTTAATTGTAACATTTGAACGATTATAATTAAATGTACGTGATTTTATTTGTGTTGTAGAAGATTCATTTGATGTATTGAATGGTGTTGTTGATTTTTTATTCGTTGCCATATGAAGTAATTTTTCTGTGAAATTAGAAAATGAAGGTACTGTAATGATTGGCAATGTGCCTTTGCATGTTTTTGGACGGTTTCGTTGATAATTATTGAATAAATTATTTGATTTTAATGATTTTCTTTTTTTCAACATTGTTGGATTTAAATCGATAATAGAAAATTGCAAAGGTATTTCTGTCATTACGTTGAAGCTTTACAAGTAATAATAGAATAAGAATGTGTTAAAGGTATATTTGAAGATAATTACAATGAATGTTTTTTTTTTTTTTCGTCTTGGGTAGATTTTTTAATCGAAATAACAAAAAAAAAAAAGAGGGGAAAGGAAATAGAAGAATTTATTAATAGAAGATATAATTTAGTGACAAAGTATTTTCTTTTTTCTTCTTCTTCTTCTTCTGTGTCTTATTCGTTTTTAAAGAAGAAATAATATTTGTTCTATTTTTTAAAAACATTCACATATACTTTAATTGAGTAGATTCACACCTGTATATATATATATAATGTTATTTATACACTTTAATAGTGAAGATTATATTCCATGAATATATGCATGTTTCATTTGTTTTTTATTAGGAATGTTAAAGAATATTATTTTATCAATTAACAATCTATTCATTACTCAAGAGAATTTCAATTATAAACTTAATATTATAGTGTCAAATATATATGTAAAAAAAAGAAAAAAAAGAATATGAATCGATAATCCAATAGATGTCCTATGTCATCAAGTCTATTTTAACATAAGAGATTGTGCTGTTCTCATAATGATTGGTTCAAATTATATCTTTTAACATAAGTAAATAAGTATAATAAAACTTCATTTATTAATCTAAATCAATCTTCAATGGATTCAACTGCAACAGAAACTATATCTAATAATCATTTTATAACAGATTCATCTTTACAAACAATTAAATTTCGTTATTGTCGTAGTTGAGGGTATGATATTATATTTATATTATGATTTATTTAATAGATATTTATTTAAGATATCGAAATGTGTTCGAACAATTTTCTGAAGTTGTTCGTACACATTATCCAAATATGATAATTATTGGAGAAAATTATCCAATATCATCTTGGAAAATTTTCCTAACACGAATATTATTTATAATTAAAATTCTATTATTTATTTGTATTTTATTAGATCAAAATTTTTTTTTATTTCTTAATATTTCAACACCAAAAATTTATTTATGGGCATTAGAAAATAAAATTTATGCATGTTTAATAATTTTTTTTCTTTCAAATTCATTTGAATCATATCTTATAACAACGGGTGCATTTGAAATATCAATTAATGATATATCATTATGGTCAAAATTTGAAACTGGTCGTTTACCAACAAATAATGAATTTATACAAATTTTACAAAAATTTATTACTAATTAATTTCAATTAATTTATCTTTTATATTTATATATCAAGAAATTAATGATACAAAAAAAAGTTTTCTTATGATGATGCAAGTTAAAAATGATTATATATCATAGACTTGTCATCTGATCTATAATTTATCATTAATTTATTGAATTATTTTTATAAAAGTTAAGGATGATAAATGAAATCTTTGTTTTTTTTTTTTGTTAATATTTGTGAACAATAAATTACGATGATAGATTAATAAATTTAATTATTTATTCTTCTTCTAAAAGCATGATATAATTTAGATAATAAATGATTTTCTGAGATTGTTTGATGAGAAAAGTTCTTTAATTGATAAATTCACTTTTGATTATGTTAGTAACAACAATCGATCAGAGATGAGTTTTCGAATTCGAAATTAATGAACTTTATTCTTCGAAGATCAAATTGATTTTCTTAGAGTTTATGTTTATTATTGTATCATATACTTATGTATCAATATTTCGAAAAATACAAACAATTGACGAATAAATCTAGAATATCAATAAATTATTAATTCTATCTGCAGATGTAGTTTATTTGATATTAACTTATTATTTCTTTTCTCTTTCAGATGATCGATCAAAAATTATTAATTAGTTTAAGTATTGTTCTTCTATTAACTTTTTATGATTTAAATCGATCATATGTATATCAAAATCCAATTTCAATAAATAATGATATTTCATCTATTCCAACACCTAAAATGAAAATGCAAATGGCACCAATTATTAAATTTCGTTATTGTCATAGTTGTGGGTATGTATTTTAATGAGAAAAATCTTTAAATTTAATTTTTTTTTTGTGTTCAGATATCAAAATCTTTTTAAACAATTTTCTGAACTTGTTCATAAACATTATCCAAATATAGCTGTCATAGGAGAAAATTATTCACCATCACCATTGAAAGCTTTACTTGCTCGAATATTATCAATAATTAAAATTATTTTACTTATATGTCTTCTTTTTAGTCAAAATCCTTTTTCATTTTTTCATATTTCAACACCAAAAATTTATTTATGGGCATTACAAAATAAAATGTATGCTTGTTTAATGATTTTTTTTCTTTCAAATTCACTTGAATCATATCTTATATCAACGGGTGCATTTGAAATATCAATTGATGATGTACCATTATGGTCAAAACTTGAAACTGGTCGTTTACCATCAAATAATGAATTTATTCAAATGTTACAAACATTTAGTGCAAAAATAGATTCCAATAATAATAATAATATTCATCTTAATAATTGATTAATTCAATGTTTGTCTACATATAATTATTTATGATAATGCAAATCAAAAGTAATTATATATTACAGACTTGTTAGATGAATTTATTGTTTATCATGGATTAGAAAAGATAAAATCGAATATAAGAAAAATAAAGTCGATTGTAATAAAACAAACTTCAAACTTTTATTTATTATAGATGTAGCTTTTTTTTTTATTTATTTAAATATTGTCATGATTCATATCGAAATAAAATTTTATTTGTAGAAGAAAGTTCAATTGCAGAAAATATAGGAAGCATGCAGTTTGAAAAAGATAAGAACAGTTGTTTTTATAGTGAACCTCATGGGTTATTGACCCTTTTGTTATCGTTTCGGGATCTGCCTGAACCCATCCATAGAAATAATAAAAGAAACTTGTGAATAAAGCATCTATGGAGTTGAAATGTGGAATTCATATATGTTTTTTAGCTTCATTAAACTTATACACAATCGTTGAAGTGAAAATTCTTTATAGATTGTAGTTCTGTTCGAAGATAATCGATCAGCAAAGTAATGATTTATCTTATTTATTTCTGCATTTTTATTCTTATTCTTATAACCATTGTATTAAATGAAAAATCAGATTATTGCAAATATCCATTATGTGTCAATTAGGTCACAACAAACCGATATTGATTATTTTTTAAAGTGATAACTTGATCAATTCACGTTTTTTTTTGTTGATCAAATGACAAGTGTGGCGTGGAGGAGGGAATATCCTGGTTGCTGGTGCATATGATATTTGTTCTTGTCGTGAGACCTACACCTAGGCACACTCACACCTCCAATAAGGACATAATAAAGCCGGTCTTCCGCCACTTCTGTAAAGTACCTCGAATCAGATATCAACAGAAAATAATACTCACTTTTTAATGGAAACATACATCAAAATCTCACGAAACAAAAGGTTCGTTGTGGCGATATTGATATCAGCTTCTGCTGATCTTTCTTTGCTCTTTCCTCTGTATTTTATAGCTATTGCCTTTTCTTGTCTTCATCTCTCTCTCTTTCTTTCTTCTATATAAGCGTATATTGTACGTGAAGTGGTTATATTCTGGGCATGTGAAGTAGCTGAATAAACATACTTTCCGCGAGTGGCAGCAAGCTACTATATTCCAGTTTGTCGTAACATTCGTCCCATTTCATCACATGGGATAAACAAATCATTTCATAGGATAGGTTTCTCCCATCCTATTCAGAGTTCTGATTTCTATCTTTTTATCTTATTTCGTAGCCACCTAATCTTTTGCTTTGGAGTACATTCTGCACCTGTTTTTTTTACCGACTATCTTAACGTTCTTATGCAACTTTCGATATTGAAAAACTTCTCATCTATGATCGAGGATTTAGAAAGTGAAGAAATTATCGTATGTAATCAGATTTCAACCTATGCAAAGAAATGGAAACAACCAATAAATGTTAGTAAAACAGTAGCGCAAATTTTCTTTTGACAAGTCACCATACCACAAATAAACATCTTAATGGATGAACAGAAGATAGAAATTGTGAAATCACTTAAATATCTACGATTTACGTGGACTAATAAATTGTTCTTAAAACTAACCATTGACAAATGCGTAGATAGCGTTCAGAAGTCTCTTCGGAAATCAAAATGGTTTAGAGCCGGCAAATCATCATCAACAACAACTTGCTAAGAACATATTTTTTGCCTATACCTTTCCACATCTTGTTTGACTTTTTCCACTTCCATCAAGAAACACTGAGATGCAATTTTAAAGTGGATGTGAAACTTACGCATCGGTGTCATTTTGTAACGGAACATAATTCACTCGCGGTAATCAAAAAAGATCCTCGCAATGTTTAGATTAAAAATTTATAAAAAAAAGATTAAATCAAACGCATAAATCTGATTTAGGAAGGTCCCTCTTTTATAATAATATATTTTACCAGGACAATTTCAAAAAGCGTCAAGATGATAACGTTGGTCATTTTTTTCGAATGAAAATAGTTAAAAAATTGATAAATAGACACGAGACTCTAGTAATAAAATAGATTGATTTCATAAGCTAGATCCACATGTGTGAAATAGATGTGTCGTTTTTCGTCTCCTTACTTTATTCTTTTTCTTTTGATGTTTATCAAACATTTTTTCTTTTTCTTTTTTTATATTATGTTCTACTTTATTGCTCCATTTTTTTCAGTCTTTCTTTCATTGTTTATCTACCATATTATGCAAAGTTATGTATAGTAGCCTTTCTTCAATTAGCTGAATTCGGTACACTTGTATTTTAATATCTGTATACTGTAATACTAACATTTAATTTCACACCTATGTCAGCACTTCCGAATGTAATAATAAATAACAATATTCAAAACAAAGAGTACAGCTTTCTTTTTCTGATTCATTATTTTCGAGCAAAACAAGATAACATGAACGACCTATATATAATACAGGAGATCGTGGTTTTTCATGCTTTTCATCGCACTTTGAGTTCAAACATACATGGATAGATTGCTATTTGAGATACATTGTGCCGCTTAGTTTAATCAATAACAAGGATCAGTAGTTTCTTTCTGTTTGTTCTCAAATTATAATCTGATCTAAAATGAAAACAATCGAATTTTGCATGTAATTGCTCTACTTGTTTAGATAAAATGTGCGCTGAAAGAAATTCAGCAGCTTCGGAAGTCAGACTCATAAGTTTGACGTACTTTTTGAAAGTTCTTTTCGGGATCAAGAAGCAATACTACATTTTTACCTAAAATCTGCTATACTATCCTAGGAAAATTGCAAATCCCTTTTTTGTCTGATCAAGTAGTGGATCTCAGAGGTCGTGACATCGAAAATTTATGCTTTATCATTTGATTCACTTGGAGTTTTCAAGAAAGTTAAGACATCAATCTGGAAGAATATGCTTAATGAAAAAGCAAAGAATTCCTTCGATGCTGACAGTTTTCAAAGAATAAATTCTAACAAGAATTCTTTAAAGTAATTTGTCAAAGTTTTGGTCTTCCAATATTTACTTTCCTATATGAAAAGAAAAGACAACCAGTTGTTAAATTGTTGTTTTTCTGAATTACTCTACCTTTTTTGGATGCAGTCTATTGCAACAACGATTGAGCGAACCTGTACAGACTGCTTTCGAGATATGTTTGTTTAACCTGTTAGAGCAGCATAAAACTCTAACAATATGAAGATAACTAGAAAAAGAATGTAAAAAAGAAAAAAAGAAATGAAGCAATTAGAGTTGCTGATATGAAACTAATTGTTTTATTCAACTTATTGTACATAAGAATGATAGGACTGACTTCTAACAATGTGAAAGATTCAAATGTTTCATTTCATTTTCTTTCTGCAAGGAAAATAAAGGAAAATAAGTAGACATCATCTGTATTTAGATTAGATAGAATGTCTTTTCGAACTCTCTCTAACTATATGTACCTGGATAGCAAACAATTCAAGAATTAGTAATGTGCATCATCATGACTAATTAGAATGAGCATTTCGTTCCGTCATATTGTCACATGGATTATTCTTGCAATCAAATATCATTTATTTGATATCGCAGAAAGCGTAAATTATGTTTCTTTGTGACTACACTTCATTTTTGAAGTATTATCTACCGTAACCAGTCGAGATTTTATCACAACATGGATTCAAATGGCATAAGCAATGGTCTATTGATCGCTCCATATCAACTGAACATATATTGGGCACTTTTCATTTATATCACTGGCGTCATTGGTAGTATCGGCAATATAATCGTATATAACTCCAAATCAATGCGTAGTCGAGCTTGCTCTGTATATTTATTATGGGAATCTATCGTTGATCTGCTCTATCTTAATTCGGTACTCTTAACACGTATATTAATGAAAGGTTTTCGAATTTCAATCACATCACGTTACGATATTTTGTGCAGACTTCGTCAGTTTGCTTCAAACTATGGCAATCAACTTGCATTCACTTTCTTAGCATTGGCAACAATTGATCGAATTCTATTATCCCAGCGATCACCTAGTAAGTTCCAGAATAGTTAGTTCCCTTGTGATTTGATCATTTTATTTTCTTCATATGAATATAATGCACTTCAAAAGCATTGCAGGATTCGACGAGTTAGCTTGAGTTTGATCCTTCCGCTCATTTCGTTCATTTTTCTGTGAAGAAAGAGTATTTTTATGCTCTTGATATTTCGCCGAAAATATATAGCTAGAATTTTTTTTTCTTATTCATCGTGTTCTTGTTATGTACTCACCTTCTGATCTAAATATCGCCATTGAGCCAACAGTGTCACTCTATCTGAACTGTTTTTCTATACCAGTAAAAATGATGTGAAACATCACTTGTTTTTATAGGAAACTTTCACAAGCTCTGCAAGAGAACATCTCGATGAAAAGAACATTTTACGTACTCTTTATATCTGAAAAATGTTAACTTTTCTAAACTTTAGAAGAAAAAATATATATTTGCTGAAGAACAGAAGAAAACTAAGTTTTCAAATTTATCTCGTAAATTGTGTCGTGAAGTAATACAAAAATCAGGCATTTTCTCTTACTCTCGATAGTGGAGACTGGCTGCGACATAACAAAATTCTTTGAGCAGATTGACCTGTTCTATTTTGATGCAAGATGACTACTGTGATATTGAAGAAACGGAAACTGAGTCATTATATAATCATCTATTGAATATGAAATGAATAGTAAATGTTAAAGAGAATGAGTTGTATGTCGTTGAATCAATTCAAATCGATTCAATTAGAATACAATGTTGGACAGTTGTTGAAACCATTGACCGAAAGGTATATGCTTTTCTGTTAGACAGAAAAAACCATGTAAGGCATATATTTTTATCGTTAAAGTATCCTACAATTGGTTTAACTTACGCTAATAGAGTGTAGCATATGTGGAGATCATTGTCGGATCGCTTTTAGAAAATTCTGAAAAGTGATTTGCTTAATTCTGACTCTTTATTGATTGAATTTCCTTTGGAAAATAATGCTATTAATTCTTCACAATTTACGTTATTTGCTACTCGATGTCACTCTACTTTAAAAAAATATGTCATTGCTCTGAATCCGATAATGTCGATTCGTACTGACCAATGCATATCTATGACATACAGATTTTAATAAACATATATATATAGTGAGAAAATCGGATTCAACCGATCAAATCTGCTTCACAGATGATCATATATATCTGCATGTATTGTTTTCGGGAAGAAATTTTCCATTTCTGTGGCTTTGTCAATACCAAATAAACGAAAAACAAAGGGTTCTTGTTGACAATCGGAACAACACCATAAGACTATATTGCATTTTTATCAGTGTCACACCGAAATACATTCCTTTCATCGTATCCATTTCATTCGTAGAAATATTTGAGCAACAAGTTTAACTCGTCAGAATTTCGTATGGTGCTGTAGATGATACATAGAGATCTATCTTTTTATTTTTTCTGCTAACAATAATCCAGCACCACATCGTACACCTCGCAAACTGCATACACAGTTGCTCTTTTGTATGGTGGATTGATCCAGGCTTCATGACAATAGTATCTCTATAACATTATGAAGGGATAGGGAGGTAATAAATGATAGCAAACATAGCTAATTCTAATCAAGATAAATCTTGGAAGTTTTCTATAATTTCGATTAATGTACTTTTTTTCTTTGAACAGGCAGGAAATCTAAAGATAGAAAGTTTGCTTAAATTGATATCAGATATAATACATTGTATCCTTTTCGTTGTAGCGTATCGACGATGGAGTAATCGTATTTCTCTAGCCAAAAAGCTAGTAGCAGCATTTTTTCTGATTTGGATTGTGATTCTCTGCCATCGGCTTATTTGGTACAGAACATTTAATGGAGGATGTGGACCTCAGCAGGGTCTCTATGGGTACTTTGATAACTTATTTGATGCAATCGTGACCTGTCTTCTACCTATGGTCATTCTAACTGTACTCGGTGTTCTCATTGGACGAAGCATTCGTCATGTCGTTCAACGACAGGTAGTGCCTGCACCTAATATCAATGAGTCGACCCATACCAATCCATCGGTCATTAATAAAATCGATTCACAACTGACAGTCATGCTTTTCATGGAGATTTTTGTAGCAATGATCTCTTTTTTACCGTATGCAGCACACTTATTATACATTAATATAACTGATACCTGGCCAAAATCACCTTTACGAGTTGCTTGGGAAACGGTTATAATAGAAATTATTCGTATTCTATCATATCTTTTCTTTAGCTGCCCATTTTACGTTTCGATTCTTTCATTTAGTGGCTTTCGCCATCAACTTCTACGTTCAATCGGACTTATGAAACCACCAACCAACATACTATCACATACGCAAGGGAATACGACTATGAGACTCACTCACATCAATATCAATGATCGCACTCACCCACATCCTGCTTTGTAATTGACATTGACAAATATATTATCAATAAAAATATTCACTGGAAAAAAAAAGGTTTTACTAGTGGCAATATATAATTAAAAGAAGAGTCGTTTCTGAGTTTTAATGTAATCAATCATTTTTTTTGAAATCTTTGAAATGATACAATAAAACTTGAAAGATTACGAAGAATCTCAGTCGAGATTGTGGGTGTGGGCTTAACTGTGGATCTTCTATCCTCTCACACTCACTATCATCCACAGTCACACCCAAACAACTTACAGTTAATAAAACATATTTTATTGTTGCTCACTCGAGATTGTCTGTTCTTATTATAACTAAACATGAAAAAATAAAGGTTAAAATTTAATGAAGTAAATGAATCAATGTATAGCTTACGTTGAATTCTGTTTCGTGGATATTATCTTGAAATATTCATATTCGGATGCTGTTTAGTTAGATTTACGTCTGTTTGACATACAAAACAAAACGTCTTACTTATATATGATAAATATTTTTCTTTTTTTTTCCTAGTAATGTCAGCTATATATCGCTTAAGTGCATATGTTGCTCATAAGCTAGAGATGTGCACCGCCCGCGTCTTAATGACAACTATGACATATGTTTAATGAGAAACTATTAGTTTTGTTTCGTCATTTTGTTATGCATTTGTTAAATTTATTAATGAACTCTAAATCAATGTTGATTAGAAATTATTCTAATTCTTATCTCAAAACTAAGCGAATTTTAATGTGGCAACTATGATATTTAAAGTCATCTTCAACTTAAACTTGCACAAATTTAACTACAGAATAAGTTAAAATATTAGGTTGGAACATAAGTTCTGAGCGTTTTTTTCTTGTACAATAACAACTTTATTTTTAAACAAAGATATGAAACATCAATCAACAATATATATATATGTATGTTTTTTTTCTTCTCTTTCTGTTATATGTATTTCTTGCGTTCTTTCATCTCGTTACTATACATTCGCTTTTATTCTCTCAAGGTCCAAAAAACATTGATATTGACCTTCACGTTTGCTGTTCTTATTGCATAATAACATTTTTATTACGCATTCCGTAATACGTGATTCTATGGTCGTTATATATATACTTGCACACATATCATCTTCTGTTTTGTGATTATCTTGCTTCAAATTAAATGGATGAACAAGAAATTCATATTCGTCATTGTATGCTTTACGAGTTTGATCGAGGTTCAACAGCAGCTGAAGCAACAAGGAATATTCATGCAGTATATAGTGAGGAAGCGGTCGGCAGTTCCACTTGTCGTCGATGGTTTACCAAGTTCCGTTCGGAAGATACCAGCTTGACGGGTAAACCCGGTTTCGGACGACCTGTAGATTTTGATGATGAAGCGTTGCAAGCTTTGCTCGATGCTGATCCACGTCAAACAACACGCGAATTAGCCGAACAGCTCAACTGTTCCCACACGACAGTGGAGTGTCACCTTCGTGCTCTTGGCAAGGTGCATAAGTACGGATCTTGGGTTCCACACCAATTGTCCACAGACAACTTGGTTCAACGAACATCGATTTGTGCTTCACTGCTTTCCAGACAGAAGCATAAGCCATTTTTGGAACGAATTATCACTGGAGATGAAAAATGGGTATGTTATGTCAACGTCTGTCGTAGAAGGCAATGGCTTGATCCTGGCCAAAAACCATTCCCGGACGTAAAGTCAGACTCGTATTCAAAGAAAGTAATGTTATGTGTCTGGTGGGATATGAAAGGTGTCATCTATTTCGAATTTTTAAATAACCATGAAACGATTAACGCCAATATCTACTCTCAACAGTTACAGCGATGGAATGAAGTTCTACTTCAGAAGCGACCTGTTTTGGCGAATCAAAAAGACGTTATCCTCCTCCATGACAACAGTCGACCTCATGTAGCAAAGTTGACTCAGCGAAAAATCGAACAGTTGGGATGGGAAGTTCTTGCGCACCCGTCTTGGTCACCAGATCTTGCACCATCCGACTATCATCTGTTCCGATCCCTTCGTCACCATCTAGGCAACAAACACTACGAAGACTTCGACGAGATAAAAGGTGACCTCACTGCTTTTTTCGAATTACAATCGGCTAGTTTCTACAAACGTGAAATTGAACTATTGCCAACAAGATGGGCTAATGTTGTCGAAAACAATGGAGAATATATTGTTGATTGATGTTTCATATCTTTGTTTAAAAATAAAGTTGTTATTGAACAAGAAAAAAAAACGCTCAGAACTTATGTTCCAACATAATAGAAACGAGCAACCTATAAGTATATATATATATATGTCCGATTATATCTTACGTAAGTGAATGCTATTTTTTTGTGAGATGTGATGTTCTATCGGAATGAGAATGCTTACTTCATGTTCCATTATGCAGAAATAGATAACACTGAAATTAATGGCCAGTCGTCGACAGCCGTCTCTCATAGCACTTCGTTCTCACAGATGTCGACTGCTGTTTTAAGGATGTGTCGCATAGATAAGATGATTGTATTCGATATAATCGTTCAATCATGTTCTTCCGAATGCTATTTCCTTCGTATGATCCAGTGGAAATGTTGTAGGTAGCTAAATATTGTATGTAGTTGTAAGAGAATTTTCATACCAAAACGGATGACTAATGTACTTCAAAGGCATTTGCCGTACGTACTTGAAACCATAACTCAACTCTATTTGCACTGATAGTTGGGTGTGGATCTTCTCTCCACCTACACCAACACCCTATCCCCAAAAATATGTCTCAGTTAATACGAAAGACGAATCGAATCACATCGTTGGATAATTGTTTGAGATGTCTAGTCAGTTAAATGATCTACTACTTTAATTGATTTGTTTTATACTTTCTAATTCAGCTACAAGAAATAAAAAAATGGGACCGAAACAAAGGATGATTTCTTATTTTCTCAAATAGGACAATTCACCTTTGGCAAAGAAAAATTGAAAATAACAAGGTTGCACAAAATTCAACTTCTTGAATCAACAATCTTGTCTACTTCTGATCTCGAAACGAATGGAACAAGATATACTATTGAACTTCATATTTTCGAATAAATTCATATCCTATCAAACAAGTTATTAAAAATGATTCATGTAGTACTTTATCATCCACTGGTGTATGTTCATGTCCTCATCATTCATCCGTGATCAAACTCGACGATACTCACATTGGAATTATTCGTCATTGTTTTCATCGACTACGGGGGCAGCAGTAGACATATATATGGAATAGATATATAATTATTCGAAGCAAAGAATTTCTTAAATCAAGCATGAACGATTATTCAAATGTTGGTATTCTTGATCTATCCGATGAGATTTTGCTTCTTATTTTGTCCAAACTAAAATATGTCTACGTATTATATTCGCTTATGGCTGTCAATGAAAGACTCGATAAAAAAGTATGTGATACTGCTTTTACTCGATCTATCGATTTAGTAACAATATCACTGATTGGTGAAAGTAATTCATTAATTCCTCATCTAATGTTGGATCCATTGTGTTTGAATATCTTGCCTCGAATTCATCAGAAAGTATTCTTCGTACTGATGATTATCCTAATCTACGCAAACTCAATCTTATTAACCTCGAGTTAAAACAATCATTACACTATTTGAATGGTACATAACTTAGTGCTTTTTCTTTCTCTAATTTATTCTGTACATATTAGACGATTCGCCTTTTGCTTACATTTTTAAGAAGCAAATTTCTCATCTTGTTGTCACCGTTATTGATGATACTGACAGTATATCATTGGATGATTTGGCTATAGATGTATATGCATGTATATTTACCCTGTTCACAAATTTAACTCATTTGAAGTTTGATATCTACAATACAGAAATGTCTGTCTACTCGACGGTCGTCTCAGTCAAATGAACACGTTGATTGTTACTATTTGATATATTTTTTGTCATTCGCCAATGAAAATTAACAATATAGTAGGAAATGAAAGTCATATCTTCTACTATTTTGTATTCACTTTTTTTCCAGAAAATTTTACATAATCTCAAATGTTTTTCATTGATTTCACGTGCTGTAACAACTACATACGATATTCAAATCGTGCCATTACTTCGTCGAATGTCACAACTAGAAAAGCTTACATTATCTCTCAATGTTTACAATTGAATGGCATTCATTGATGGCACTCATCTGAACAATGAAGTTCTCAGTCAAATGCCACATCTGCACACATTCTTCTTTGACATTGTTAGTCACAGTGGAATTACCAATGAAGATCAAAAGTCTATTGATGATATTCGATGCATATTTTTTCAATGCATTGCCTGTTATCGCGACTAGTTTTCAAGCGGAGAAGGACGATGTCACATCTATTCACTTCCATTCACGATGAAATATATGTAAAACATAACGAATAATTTTTCTGCCGATATATTATTCATGAGTGTGCGTATTTTGGTTGTAGTTGACTACATATGTACGTCCATCCGAGCATAACTTCTTTAATCGAATCTCTCGTTCGTTTCCATTACTCAATAGTATATCTGTATTTAACACAATACAACAGAATGAGAAGCGGACGCGGCAATCGTATGATCATGAACAAACATCTTCAATCATCAAATTTCCTCGTCTTTCTCGACTCGTTCTCGAGTATGCTCATATCGATTATGTTGAACAGGGTGTGGGCTGTGGGTCTGGATGTGCGTGGGTGTGGGTGTGGTGCTTCTCCTCATCAATGCCCACACCCATCCACACCCTCGAGTGGGTTTCAGTCTCTGACTCTCAACACGACTCTCCAAGAATGGATGTTGGAAAAGGATTCAGCCCACCTTCCTCGCTGTAGGTGTGGATAAAGCGTCCATACCGCGTTCCCTTTACGTGGATGAGGGGAAAGGTCTTCATTGAAAACTTGAATAGTTAAATAGTCGCAATTCAACTCTTTAACTATTCAAGTATTCGACCATTCAAGTATTTAGCTTAACTATTCAAGTCTGCAACAGTTGCAGGCTTGAATAGTTAAGCTGAATACTTCAATATCTTAATGCTCGAATAGTTGAGTTGAATACTTCAATACTACAATGGTTGTATACTTGAGTAGTTGAATAGTTGCATTACAACTATGGAAGTATTGAATTATTCAAGTATTCAGCCCAATTATTCAAGCATGCAACAGCTGCATACTCGAGGGTGTGGGTGTGGTTAGGTGTTAAATTATTGTCAACATCCACACCCATACAGTGGCGGATTTAGGGGGGGGGGGCGCTTGGGGCGATCGCCCCCATTCACAAAAACAATTTTCGATTTTTCCCAGCAGAAAAGACTTAAAAATAGAGTGCATACTACTACTAATGAACTTCAAAACTCGATTTTTGGTCAAAATCGCCCCATATCTATCAAATCGCCCCTTATCAAAAAAATCCTGGATCCGCCGCTGCACCCATAATGATTTTTATCTATTGCGCATTTTATTTATTATTTAGCTATCAGTACATTTCCTGGTATCTTACTCTGAAGTGGAATTTTTATTGCTACTTGGCAATAAGTATTTCATTGTTTGCCATCTCAAACATTTCGCTCTGATTGAAAGCAAACAAGCTATCAGTATTAATAAAAATGTTGCAATATAAATGAGAGATTGATATCTATGTGTATCGCTCCTAGTTACATACATTCATTACAATGAAGTGGATAGGATTATGAAAAAATACAGCCAATTTGCTTTCGAGAATTGCTTGCAGCTATTTACAATTTATTTACGTCTGTTACATAAAATCAAGCGTTTGATTATGATGAATGTTATTCGAACGTGCACTCTGCTATCAGTAAGTCATACAGAAACAGTAAGTGTTATTAATGACTTTACAGAGGTTTCGATCTGTAGCAACGTCTTTCAAACATTAAATTTCAAAATTTTAGCCTTCAGCAAGATTCATGCATAAATGAAATTCCGTGATGGAATAAATGTGAAGCTGAGTAGAAATATGTTAGTTTCAATCCCTTCAGATACTGTATTTGGATCGAAACATTCTAAAATTACATCCGTTCAAAATTTTGAAAAATGCTGATGATTTCCATATAGTTCTGTCTTTTTTCACTGTTGGCTCTATTAATTTTTAAAATAATACTTTGTTCTCATATTACCTCGAACACTAATTTGAATAATGAAGCCTCATCGACTCGAGAAACATTCGCCTATTGGACTTTCGGAAACCGAGAGCTTGCTTTTTGAAAGAGACTTAGATAATGTTGTGAATGTACCTCTTTTTGTCGTCAATTATAATAATTGCCATTGCTATATTTTTTTATTCTATTCGTAATGAATTAGAGATATAGATTTTAAGTTTTGTAAATTTCAGCTTCCTGCTTTACAAAAAGACATTTTAGTGGTAATTAAGGCTTATGTTACTATTTCCGAAAGGCTTGTATTTTAATATTTATTCGTTCAATTCGACAATAGGGTGAGGGTGTGGGTGTGGGTGGGTGGTGTGAGTGTGGGTGGGATGTGGGTATTGATCTAATAATGGCTACTCCTACACCCATAATTACCCACACCCACCATCACCCACACCCACACCCACACCCTCACACCCACACCCTCGTGTGACGAATTGATCGGTCGCCTCAATTGCGCATCTTTTGGGGAAAAATATTCAATATTATATGATTGTTCTGTACTTAGATATAATCATTTTGGTCCACTTGGTACTTCTTCTATTTCTCAATATATGTAAAAGGTTCCAGAACTTTATCTTTCATATGATCAATTTTGTATTTTTTTTCAAAAGAAGTTATCAATCATTGCTTGTACTGCAGTGATGTGGCTTCATCGTTGACCCGTACTGTACATTTAGCCAACGAATAAAGCTTCTCGATTGAGAGAATATGTTTTGAGAAGAAAAACAATCACAAAAAAATCCCACATAAATACACCGAATTGTGGATAGACAAAATAAAAAAGAGATATCCATTGAGTGAAATCGATAATCGAGTTTGATTGTGAAATATCATTCAACGTCTAACGTATGCAAATTTCGAAGAATATTGTACTTGCTCATGACGTCTTGGTAGAGATGACGTTGCTCAGGATGCTAAATAAACTATCTTTCATTCTGATTAAATCTAAAGCATTTTTTCTCGTACCTATCGACGATGGTAGTGGCACTTTTTCTCCATGAGAATACTTGATTCGATGTTTATCGGTTTTA